TCCTTCTTCTCCTCGGTCTGCTGGCCAGGCTGCGGCAGAGCGCGCAGCGTCCTGGTCTTCCTGTTGCTCGCAGGTGCAGAGACAAAGTTTCGAGCCACCGTCGAGCCCAACAGCACGAAGGCCGCGACCACTAGCGCGCAGGGCAAAAGCGCCCGAGCCCGCATGGCCATCGTAGCACAGCTACACCGTCAACTGAAGAAGGCAATCCTTGCAGCAATTTGTGAGCCAACACGTGTGCGGAAGTGCAAAACGTTTGAACGGAGCATGCTAGTGTGTAGTCAGCCGATGACCAGGATCAAGGAAGCGTCCATTCCGCCCCAGGTTCCATATGAGAAATTTATGACTCTAACAACAGGAGCTCGGAGCGACATGTCACAGTCACGTGAAAGCATGACTTCTTGCCGCAACTGAAAGATGTCTGAGAGGAGCTAAAGCCTGCCGGGGACGACACAGGTAATACGGCGTCAGGAAGGGGATGAGGGGTATGACCTGGCCGCGCAAGAATTCTTTGCTGCTTCGTGGCAGCTCATGGGTGAGGCACCAAGGGCTGACTTCGCTGAAGCGTCGGGATCACGATTAACCTGAGCAGGAGTGAAAAACACGCTCAGTAACCGCGGTGGCTCGTAGCACGAAGGATCCAAGACCGCTGCGCAGCCCCCGAGGCCTTGTTCACGGCCGTGAACCTGAGAGAGTGCACAGGGCTGACTTATGCTGTTTCAAATCCACTGGGCATCTATATGTGTAGTCCAACCGTGGAAGCCGCTTCAGGTCGGCACGCCAAGAATTCACTGCGAGGGCCCCAGCACAGCGTGAAGTCGACACCTCTGGCACGGTGAGCAATAGTGGCCCTAGCCTCTTGGCATCCTTACGCTTGGCTAAGGCTATTCATGGCTATCTTCCACGATCTTCCACAAGTCTCTGTACCGCGGCTTGGTGGCCGACCATGGCCAGGAACGGGCAGAAGCTGCTGGTCTGTCGGGATGGCTGGTGCGCTCTGCAACTTGGACAGTTGCTATCTTTCTGTGATCTCTCGTTGGGAATACAGAGATGAAGCTTTGTTGTACGCTTCACCGTCGACTCGGGGCCGTTGTGTTGTGTCCACTTGTCTTTCCCCTGCGTGCGGCTAAATCCCGGCAACAAGACGGTTCATGAAGGACCGTCTGTGACTTGCTCCGACTTCTCGGGCATTCCATTGATGGATCACTAGCGAAGCCCGAAGTATGGACTGACCTGGAGCATTATGGCCCTCGGTTGGATTGCATCTTCACAGTTCCATCGTCTCCGTGATCAACGAGCTGCTTGGTATTGCTGTAGGTCTAAAGTTTCAGGGACCGCTCAAGGAACAGATTTTGCTGCAGTGATAAATTCATACACCTGAGACGTTGCGACACCTGGATCCCACTCTGCCTTCCTCTCCCTGTGCTCGAGCTCGTGGCTTGTTCTTCCCGGCCTCCCGTCTCTGGATCTACAAGCGCCACCTTCCCATCTGTCCGGCACACCTGCAGCTGCGCTTGCTTGCTTGCTTGCTTGCTTGCTTGCTTCGGGAACTCTATGTCCTATTTTTTCTACCAGCAGAAGGATGGTAAGGTTGAGGTCTAAGGGCAGCACCGCAAGCCGGTCCCTGATAGAAGACCTGCTGTCAGAGCTGCCCAGCATCAAGGTCATGCACGATCAATACATGAACACAAGCTGCATTTTGCCTCATATGTTTCGACAAGATATAATAAAGGGCAGTAAAAACAGTTGGGAGCATCACAACCGAACGTGCTCGACTGCGCGGCCAAACAACTGCTGGGATGGACGCTTGTGATACGATGTATGTGCTGACCACGGGGGAGTCGTGATGACAGCAAACTACAAAGACCAGTCCACCCCAGTATGGCCGGTGTACTTGGTCAACTTCCGGCCGCCTATGGGTGTTGCAGCGGGGTGGGGGCCAAGTGGCGGCCTTTCGGCAAAACTGAAGGACATGTGCGGAGCTGTGTATGCACACGTGCACATGTGAAAACATTCATTCGTAAGACTCTATGTGACTATGTGCGTGCGTAGATCCTTTTGAAACATGCTTTTTTTTGAGCAGGGGCTGCAGCGCACTTACCACGCCAATTTCTGAACACCCGGATCTGTAGACAAGTTGTACTACCTCCGTATCGGATTCCTCGGGGCTGCGCGCAGCTTTGGAAAAAGCCTGGAAACACCGCAATTTGAATCGAACAGCGGAGAGAAGGCACATCATGCCACAGAAGGGCAGTTGACGGCAGTTGGCATGCCAATGCCGGCGGCATCGTGTTTCAGTTTCGACTCTCACCGCTCTTAGCAGCAGAATTCAAGAAGCGGCCTGGCATGCGCCAGGTGGATCGCATAGGCCCATCCAGCACCTCCAGCAGAATTGACAAAGCTATATCATACCCTTAAAAAAAAGTTGTGAAAGCATTGGGCACCACACTTTGGCCAAATGCCGCATCCCGCCTGGCTTCGCATGTGCGCATGGAGTGCCCCCAACGTCTGATATTGTCTGATGGACGGGGAATCTGCAGTCCGTCTGTCAGGCGCACATCCCTTCCGGTGAAACTCGGCTCCCAGCCGAAGCCAGCTTCGGCTGTGACAAAGCTGCGACGCCCGGCATAGCAGCGCCTCTTTAGAATGCTTGCGTGCGCTTGTTCAACACTGTCATGGTGTGCTAATAGCAAGCGCTACTGCATCGGCGGCCTCTTCGGAAAAAAGCTGCTTGCGTAGCCGCCGCGAGGTCTGTGACAGCTGGACAAGCTCCTGCTATCTGGACATCACAGCCTGCACATGCGTGCATCTGCCTTCTTTTATGAGAGGCATCGTCCTCCCCATTGCAACAGTCAGCAACCAGATCTGGAAGATCCACGGTCGACTGGCAGCCACAGACGGGAGAGTGAGGTTACAGAGTCAATTGGCACTCGTTTTCCAAAGAGAACTTACATTACTAGAATTTACTGAAATATACTACAATTTACTATAATATACTACTATATACCAATAGTATACAATAATATGCTACAATATACGAACTATACTATAATATACTATAAAATGCTATAACATCATTCTCCCCAGTTGTCGCCTCCAAGTCAGAGGCCGGAGCAGAAGAGCTCTCTCTGCACGACACACGAGGCCTATGGGCGAGAAGGAATTTGCAGAGGCCTTTTACCTACAAGGGTTTAGGGCTTAGGGCTACAATTTTCTGGGCATCGTTGCTTGAAACCCCGATATTGTCTCTTCTTACTCCCTGGGCTCTTTTGTTTTACCCTCTAGCGATCCACCACAATCTAAACCAACATGGTCCCGCACTTGGGTGAGTTTTGGGCAGGGCTGCTCAAGCCTGGGTAAGTGCGTATATCCTTCCAGGACTGCTACGCATAATTGATCGGTATTTCATGGTAGTTCCACGACAGGTTCGACAAAGCATCTTGGGAGTTACAGCGGTCGCGTCAAGTACAGATGCCAAAAAGCACGGCACAGAACATCCGAAGCAAAAGACCGCAGGCCTGTGCTGACGCTTGCGCAGTTGTTCTGCAGCAGCATCCAGCAGGTTTCGGACCTTGCAATGGGCTGCGAGCGAGTCGGATCCGATGCCCGCGCATTTTCAACCCAGGGCAATATTTCGACTTCGTTTTAGATTCAGAGGGATTCGAGCTCAGATGCCGCAAATATCAGTGGCATCTCTCGCAAGGCAGACTGGCTTGGTCCATGGCCTCTCGGTCGGCCTCAACTTTAACTTCTCTGGGAGGTGCACTGCACATGCGGCTTCGCTGGAGCTCGGAAGCGGACTCTGTCCATCCCTGCCACGAAATACAATCGCCGGGCCTGGCAAATGCAGGGGTCTGGACTGCCCAAGAGGCAACGACTGGCGCGGGTCAGAAGTTACTCGGATTGCTACAGTGACCGTCAGAGGTCGCTGCGGCAAGATCCCCGCTGGACCCCGCGAGTCGATCTCTAGGACTCTGGGGGCTCTGCAGCACTAACTGCGGCACAGGGTCGCCCCAGCGCCAACAACGCCTCGGAAGAGCGGCAGTTCTCTACTCTCAAGGAAAGGCTGTAGGCTTCATTGCCGGACATCTCTTGGCGGGGTACTTTGGCTTCGCGGAAGTATGCTTTGGTGTAGGCTGTGTCCATGCCGCTCGCCGATCGGGCTGCCTCGAAGGCACACGTGCAGCAATAGTTGCATTCAAACGATACACCGAGGTCTCAGTCTCGTTGCTGCACAGCGGGCTGTCTTAGAATGACTGTCATCCCATATCAAGTTCCGCCTCCAAAGCCCTTTCGGGGCTGCCGCGGGCAAGCTGGGCAGCACTGAGATTGCCGAGCCTCGTACGCCCAAGGGCTCCGTTCTCCAACTGTCACGTAGGCACAAACGCTGGGTCACCGACAAAGTCGCCCGCTCCCGGACATATCTGCTGCTGTTGCCTGCTTGCCGCCAACAGTCGCTTGTGAGGTCGAGCTGGAAGCTTGTAAGAAGCAACAGCAAGGAAGGGGCATCTCCATTTTGCGAAGCACATGCGGACATGTCGAGGCGACTTGACGCTTCGGCCGCGCATGCACCGGTGCCCTGCACAGGCAAACATTAAATGCCAGAGATGCTCCAAGAACCTGCATTCAGGTCAGAACATGGCTCAAAACTGATGCCAGCACAATCCCTTCAGGATGAGCGGGCTTCAACTAAGGGAAAACTGCCGCGTGACATTGCGACACAACCGCCTCCACTCTCATCACTCTCCATGTCTGCAAATGGCCGGGAAAATTAAAGCGCCCATCTTCCAGGGCTAAGCCTCCGGCCACTTGCCAGTGAATTCTTTTCATCTTTGCAACATAATTTGATTTTCTCGCGTGGGCCCAAATCAATGATCCTGCGGCTCTTCCTCCAGAAGGGAGGCGACTTTGGAGCGAAGATGCCACATTCTCCGCTTGGCTGTCGCATACAGCCTGAACAGCTCTTGCATCAAAGAGCTCGAAGCACAATTATTTTCCCCCTCCCCCCCACACTCTGCCAAGAAGCATTTCCTCGGACTTGGCCAGCTCTCTGATAACATTGTAGTGGCTCTCAGGTATGTTGCACTTGGCGTTATACTTGGTGTTCCTGGCAGTGTGTCCACGGGCCAAGCAGGAACCACAACACAAACCTGGTGCCATGATCTGCGCTCGCTAGCTACTGCACTACTGCCTCTTGCATGGCCAAACTCAAGCGATGTGCCCAGAATGCATCCATCCGGCAATAACCTTAAACCCTCGAAACCAACCCCAAACCCGCCCCCAAAGCCGCTTCCGCTTCCGCTGCAAGGGCCAAGGGTCTCGTTGAGCGAGACGTGGGCCAAGCTCAGGAAGCTGCCGGAGAGCTGTGGGAAGTAGGCGGCAGCCACCTGCATTCTTGACGTGTCATGTTGCACTAGGGAGTATTTTTTCGGAGAGTCTAGTAGAGTAGAGTCAGTATAGTATACTGTAGCGTGGTGTGGTGCGTGTCAAATCAACTCTTGCAGAACAATACCGTAGAACTTCTAGTAACGAAAATGTAAGTATACGTGTCTATACATATGTGTATATATATATACATATATACGTACACATACGTAATATAGTAGAGTGTAGAATACATGAAATTATTATGTTCATACATTTCCGTACTTTCGCAGAATATGGTACGGTTTTCAGGTTAGGAAGTGTGCAGAGGTGGGGGGCCAAGGAGTGTTTGTCGTTTGCTCTCACACGGTTCTTGGTTGGCAGTCGGAAGGTTTGGGGCCTTTAGGGTACATCATCGGGGGGTCTCAAGGTGTGTTGGGTTTAGGTGCTCCGGCTGTTCAGGGCAGTTATGATTTGTGCGTGAAGGGTTTGGGCTGCACTGATGATAAGGTCAGGTCAGTACATCTGCCCCAACCGGAACCCTTTTCGGAACAGTCTAGACGGTCTTCGAGTCAATCTTCACCTTGCGGTGCTTCTCAGAGCAAGCCTGCATCTGGCTGCGTCTATGACTGTGTGCCGTGCTTTCGGCAGCTGCCGAGCTACAGTTTTGGGGGGTTGAACAAGTTAGGCAAGTCTAAGCCTGAGGGACGTTTCAGTATGTTTCAGTCGCAGTGTTGCTTAGTTGAGACCGGCCGATTCGAATAACGCACGTGCAAGGGTTGCCCTGAACTGTGTCGACTTCATGTCATCATACTGTGGACAAAGTGGTGCCTTCATAGACTGGGGCTCCTCCAAGAATAAGGGCACACACTGGGCGAGGTTGCGCAATGTACTGTTCCACACCTCGCTTCGAGCCTGCACAGGCAAGCTGCGCAAGCACTATCTCGACACTCCAGGCTACGGCCAAGCCCTTTGAGGGGTGCTCTTTCGGCAGCCTGGGAGGAGAAATCACCAGCGTGGGAGATCACGGAGCACTCGCCACTCAGCCTTCGGACAGTGGGCGACCGGCATGGCAAAGCATCCTTGCATGGCCGCTCGCCTGCGGAAGGGCTCGTTGACGCAGCCGACTTGGATGAGAACATCCCTGAGCTGGTCTGGCGACAGCTTCGCCATGCACTCCGGCGCATCCTTCCTGACATCTGCTCGGAGACAAAGCTCCACAGAAGCAGAAAACACCCCCGACACGGCCAGAAAGGGAGAGACAATCGTGGTTGCGTGTCACCGCCCCCGCCTTACGCCGACGGCTCGGTAGGAGTAGCAGGACAGGATGCGATAGAAAGGCTTCCGGAAGTTGGTGACGCATGAGAACTCATTGACTCCGCGGTGATGCAGGTTTTGTGCAAACTCATCCCAGCCTAAACAGGCAACGTCGCGACACAAGGGGAATCAGGACAGGGCCAAGATCTTTACCATGCGGACGGGCAGCAAAAATGCCCAGCGTACACCGCCGCTTTTGTCTTGGGAGCCTGGAAGTCTTGGCAGCCGACAGCACCTCCGACGGAGACGCGCAAATGGACGAAATATGACGAAATCCAGGGTGAGCAAAAGGACTTCTCAACCGAAGTGGCATTTTCAAGATGCAGCTGGGACGCCATAGCACTGGATGTAGGGCTTCCAGCCCTTTCTCATGGAGGCGTTGTAGAGCAACTCTCTGAGGGACGTGCCACCAGACTTGGCTTGATGCCTGTGGAGCGCGAAGCTGTCAGGGACGAGAATGCAGCCCGTTCGCTCCGGAGCAATCATTACAGAATAGAAATGTGTGGCAAGCGAGCAGTAATAGGAGGCGCGACGAACAGAGAGCGCTGCGCTTTGCACAAATTCTGTGGGACCTAAGCCTTTGCTGAATAGCGGAAGCTTTCGCAGCTGGCTTGCAATCTAGCGGCATGAAGATCAAGGGTCTGTTCATGCGAATTTGCTGATTTGGCTCGGGATATGGCAGACGAAGGAAGTTTCCAATCATTCGCATCACCGGATCCAGCTCCGTGAACATCTGACTCTGGCTGGCGCTCCTTATATAGGTCAACAAAGCGCCAAAGCTAAAATGCGAAAGAGGCAAAAAAGCAGCCTTTTTTGTTTGTCAAGCTTTCAAAGCTGAGAGGCTGCTGCAAGGAGAGCGACTCATTGGAAGGCACCTGCCAAAGAAAAGCTATAGGGATTGCGTTGAGACGGCACCTTTTGGATCCGGGCTTCGAGGGCCTTTGGGATCTCCTCCTGCCGAACCTGCAGCGCGCTGACGTCATCGCCCGCCTCAGGCTGCGGAGTGCCGGAGGGCTCCAAAAGAGCTCAGGCTCAGGCTCCGCGGGGAAGAGCAGGCTCATATGGGCTCTTAGGCTCCGGCACAGTGCCTTGAGAGGTCATCAGCCTGCAGCTCCAACGCCACGTGCTTGCAGCTGGGGCATGCCAGTTGCGGGCCACTCGCCTGTGCTTGGCTAGCCAACACGCCGGCAGCCAGGAGGCATGAGGTCCATGCCTGCAGATGCGCACGCTTGTGAAGATTTCATGGTGAAGAGGCTGTGCTCCCGAAGCCGCGTAGGGCAGTAGGGCATGGAGGGCCTTCGCTGCAAGAAGGGACCACCGCGACATTATGAACGGTTCGTTTTGAGCTGTGTAGTACAGCTGCAGCAAGCATTTTAACAGCACCACTTCAGCCGTACGTAGTTCGTCACCTAGCATTGGCCGAAAAGACTTTTCACTCTATAAGGTCTTTAATTACCATGTCATCCGAGTGGTTGCAGCAACTTACATCTGATGACCTATCCAGCGAGGCACATGGTGCGAGCTACTCCTGCCAAGTGAAAGGCTCGGATTTTTCTTGCTAAAACTTGTCGCCTCTTATCGAAGATTTCCTCGAGAGGCCGGCGGCTGTCAGATTCATACCTGGTCATACCTTCAGCATCAGCTGCCACATTCGCTTCACGGCTGCCTCGTAGAGCCTCGGATTAGGTGGCACGACTCGCCAAGTCAGCCAAGTCTTGGGGTCTGGTCTCTGTACGCTTTTTTCCCGTGCTCCCTGCATCGTCTCTGACTCGGCCAACTCCTTAATGGCCTGACTTCGTCGTGGGGCTTGCGCATGCAACAGCTGTGCAAGGGGACAGAGATCACCGACTCAAGCTAAAGCTCTTGCTATCAACTGGTGATGAGGGCCTCCATGTGCGAATCCGGAACGTGACATTCACCCTGGTTGAGGTAGTGGGTATTCCTCGTGGCAGTGACAAGAGTCTCAAACTAAGCCCGTCACATTCTCCTGACTGTATCCGGTCCTGTTTACTGCCAGCGACTTTATGTCCCAGATAGCATCTGCAAGCTGCGGAAAATGGTTGGCAGCAACCTCACAATCAGTCCAAGGTCCATGTGCCAAATGCACCTGACTTCAACCTGAACAAAGCCCCCCAGCCTTCAGGGACACCTGTCTGCCCAGGATGATCGGAACGCACTGCGACATGTAGTCCAACGTGTTCTGCCAAGCCGCTTGACGTGCCTCGCGGGCTTGGCAAATCACTTGACAGATGTGTCAAAACACTGGGAAGCCAGCAAACGACCAACATCAGCAAGGCAAGCCGTCAAGCCTGCCTTCGTGTCGATCATGCTCACCGTTGAGTTTGGTAGACATTCGCTGAACCTTCGGAAGCTGGTTTAAGTCTGGCCGTCGGCTCCCACCACTTTTCTCCCATGATGTCGGTGTACAATTACAGAAGGTTAGAGTGGAAAGCTCTGTCCCAGTTGCACGTTTGGACGGGTCGCGCTGATCAACACTCATCTTTCGCGCTCATTGCATTACACTGTCGAAGGAGCCTCCGGAATGGCTCATTCACGCAGCCGCGGTCCACCAACAATTTCTTCAAGTTGTCCACGGAGAGATCCTTTGAAGCTGAGCTTTTTAAAGGTGCCCCGCAAAGCAGCCAGCTGCAGCCCAAGGTCCCCCATGCAAGCCGGCGCCACGTGCTCGGAGCCCACCAAACGGTCCGAGTAGCAAGACATGATTCGGGGCACAGGCTCGCGGAAGCTGGTGAGGCAGCCGACCTCCGGTCGAACGGCAAGAGGTGCACCTAGCCTAGCAGCCCTACCACTGCAAGTCGGGTTAGCACCACATACCCCTTCCTAAGTGCTCAAGAAGTCCTTCACTGGGTGCCTGCTTGGCTCCCTTTGCTTTGAGGCTACGCTGCGCATCTGCCCAGCAGAAGTGCCCAGCATAAACTGCCGCATCCCCCTCCAGACGGAAGTCGTTGCAGCCCACTCCACCATAGCAGGGGATGTGGGCCTTTAGGCCGAGGTTCCTTCAGGCGAGCCAGGGTGGAGATCCGTAGCCAGCCCTTACCCTCACAGCCCAAAGTCCTGGAGGAGTTCGAGATCAGCTTGCGGATAGAAGTGCCAGCTGCCCTAGCTTGGTGCAAGAACACCAGCCTGAAACAGAATGTCGCTCGCTTGAATCAAGGCACATTTCGAGCCCAAAGAGCATGGGGCATGTGCTGCAGGCTGGGTCTACCAACAAGATTGAGGCAACAGAGTACGTAGCACGTCACATAACTGCAATGCAACACCACCATTTTTGCTTGACTCCCAAAAGCCCGGGTACAGCTTGGCGTGTTGCATCCGCAACATGCGGGAGCAAATGTCTGAATCTTGACGAAAGGCGGATTCTCGCTTGTGAGGTTGCGGTTTGCCGACGGGAGTGGTGCTTGAAGGAACTGCTCGACCAAGCCGGGCACGTAGTCCGACTCCGCCTGCTCCATCCTGCTTTAATTTCGGGCGAGCACAGCACTACCGTGTAGAGACTTGGAGAGGCCGTCCTGGTTTGCAGGTTGCAGGCGCCGTCTCCTTCCGTCCATGAATCTGCCACCTGACATTCTCGAAGCTACAGTAGAACCCCTCGGAGCCCTTTGTTGAAGTCACATGGCCTCTGCAGACAAGGCCGATGCCCCTGTGAGGAGGGCCAAAATTGTGCACTGAACCTTGGCATCAAACATGACGGAAACGAATCTCTCCAGGCAAATCTTCTGACTACTCGCGCCTGGCCACAGCTCCTGTCAATTTCTCATCAAGGCACCTTTGTCATGGCACTAAGCGCTGATACACCTAAGGCGTAGCAGCTGTGTGGAGAGTCGGTTCGTTTGGGCCAAGTCTGCGGGCAGGCACACAACTCTCAACAGGCTTTCATCGACTCACGTGCAGAGAGCTCTGCAGGAAAAGTTCGTTGGCCCCGCCCCCGACGCGGCCTAAGACTTCCAGCGCGCCCTCGTAGCGTTCGATGGCCAACTCAGGCTCGTCGGCCTTGAGGAGTTGGTTGCCCTCCTGGTGGCCATCTGCGGGCATCTGCCCTTTTTCTCAACTTCGCACATCCCAACTTCGACTGTTGAGATTCTTAAGAGTAGAGCAACTGCTTTCAACCCCTGCCTCCTTCAGAAGCTCAGCGTCAAGCTTGTCGTGGTCAGGTTCCGAGTATGCACCCTGCGATCATTCAAAAAAACTGTTTGCGGGGGAGAGAGGGGTGGAGGCCTTTCGAAATTGTGGGTTGGCGGGTTGAAACTGTTGCTGACGATCCGCCGTCTGTAGTTCCCCTTTGATTCCCACAGGAACGACTAGACACTGCGCGCTGCAAGGCCGACAAGCCCGTGGTTCGAAATCCATCACGCCAGGTCATAGGGCCAGGCATGGATCCTTGTGAGGTGGACAAGGTGCCTGCTGGTTTGCCAGCTCCGAGTTCTCTAGTCTAACGTCCGCATGTCTAACCCCTATGGGAAACTCGTGTTGCCTGTCGCATTCGAAAGACACCCTACAAGGTCGAAACTGCATAGAGCAGTATGTTGCACAGAATCGAACAAGATCGAAGAAGGCTCACAAGGCTACTTGCTTCACGAGCTGCTGTGGAATAGATGACACACTTGCCGCCAAACTGTGCATTGCAGCAACATCCCCAAGCATTCCACGGCTCCGAAGACGGCAAACTACGAAATTGGGTGTTCGGCAACTTCATGCTGCAAGTTGCTGCAATCTAGCGATTGCTAGCAACATGGACAACACCGCGTCTCCACAAATGATCATCTGTTGACTTCCGTGGAATCCCAGCTTGAGGTGCAGCTTGTTTCGTAGAAGTTCCCCGTGCATCTGGCCATGTTTCTTTTTGTTCCACGCCCGGAAGCACGCCTTCGAGTTCGGACAGTGTCCGTTCTCTCGGATCGCCTGAAGCGGCACAAGCTCCACCCCTTATCCTTTGCTCGCTCATGTTATGATTGTTTCTTTGCTGGCACGCGCACGAAGAAGTACTGTCTTGTGTGTGGGCTACAAGACGCTCCCTTCCACAAACTGCAGCACGACAAACGCAACAACTGAGCTTCTGTGGTTGACCACGAGCAGTACTTTCGTGGCTGGGGGCCCTAGTCAGCTTCACTGTCGTTTCTTATTATCTGGACTTCACGATACCAACACCGATAGTCGATTCGGCACGACGTGAGCGTGTAGAGCTTGTCTTTAGTCGGCATGCGTCTGGCAAACTGCAGAGACTGGGCATCTTCCAAACCTGGCCTGGGCTTCTCGGGCGCCACAGAAGCCCTGGCTTCAGCTTCGCAGCTCAACGAGATCAGAAACTACCGGCAACAGCACGCTGCTGGCCTCTTCGTCCTGGCTCATGGACGCAGCCCTGGCACACTTTCTCACCCATCTCAATGCATTCTTACGGGAGCATCCACTCGACGTGCAGCAAGCGACAATTTCAAACTGAGGCAGGCTGGACCCATCAGTGAGTCTGAAGGCTCGTCCATCGACAACAACTTGCTGTGCATCTGCTTACGTCCACATCAGGCATGGTGGAGGTACATGGACGGATGGCTCGGTGGCTAGGTAGGTAGGTGTGCCATTGCTCACTCTGACTCGGCATTGACAAATGCAGGCAATGTGCTTAGTGAGCCATGCCAGGCAAATGGATATGCTCAAGGTCAACAACAACGACGACACCGGCGAAGTCGACGAACGAAAGGCACCAACATCAGGAACACGAGAACGACGACGACGACGACCGAACGACACAACAGCCAACACCACAACACCTACATGAGCAACGAAAACGACGATGAACGAACAGCAGCAACACAGCAACACGACGACAACTCATGCTGACCATCGGTCGCGGCTCACAACTCTTGGCCGGCGCATTGCAATCTGCAATCTTCTTTAAACTTACGCCGCTTCATCCACCATCTTATGGCTGCCTCTCGAATTTCTGCAGCAGGCTGTACTACTGACTTGATGCTGGAAATGCGGCTTCGAGGCCGCAATGGGGACTCTTGCTGCATGCACGCGTCAGGCAGCCGCAACAGCAACTGTGACTTTCTTCACTCTGGTCCGACCACTCAAACAGAAGTGGTGATTGAGCGATATGAAACAATCGGTTCATCACAGCTCCAGTTGGTACACTGTCATCCAAGAGTTGACCCACTGATCCTGTCACGATATGTTGGTTAATGCTGGACGTCACTTTTGTCTTAGTCCTTGCATTCCTGTAGTGACCTCTCCGGTCCAGCTCTTGCGATGGCAGCTCCGTGACTGAAAGACTTGCAGAGCTCGTGGGCATCACTTCGCCCACAAAACATCCGGATCAAATTCGCGTGGTTCCTCCCCCAACAATGCCTCGCACTTCTGGGCTCACGTTCAGAACTCTGTGAGCCTCTTCGACAGCCTGGCCAGGCAGACGTCCAGGAAGGTGGGGAGCAGGCCTCGAAAAAACGGCCAGACCCGCCGCCAGGCCAAGGCTCGCTCTGCTTTTGCACTCGTTTACACTCTACCCATAGGCTCCAGAGTAGTTCCTTTTTAATTTTGGTTTGCATTTAGGATCCTACAAGGAAATCCCAAAAAGGAACTACTAAGGAGCCTATGGGTACACTCGTCTAGACTCTTTGCTGAGACGTGGTGGGAAGCGCACGCTGTGCTCTGCTGCACCTCACAGAGAAGTTGACCCTCTCCGACTGAAGCGACTGCGAGCTCTTAGTGCAAGGCGGGTTCGGCTGCCGCTCCCGTCACAGGCTCCAGCCATTCGCAACCTGAAGATCACGGAATCTGAGGTCTTCAAGACAAGCTAAGACTGCAGTGAAGTGTCTCTCGCGACGAAGAGGTGGCCTCTGATCGCCATTTGTGGTACGTCGCTCCGCTTGGGCAGCAGAGGAGACGTGGTCTGCTGCACATGCCTGAGAAACACTCCTCAAGCAGAGCAGCTGTTGAGCAAGACTACATGTCTGCATGGCCTGGCCGGTGCTTGGAAGACGCCAACGCCGAACTCCTGGTCGGAGTGTCCCGAGCAGGACATGCTGGCTGCTGGCAGCTAGCACTGATGCCATCGTCACCTTGGGCTCGGAAAGCTGCGGCTGCGTGCCTGTCGACAGATCCCCGTTGATATGGTGCTTGCAGCGCTTGCAGTGGTCAGGCGTGCAACGTGCCGTCCGCAAGCAAAAATGAAGCGTGACTACTACTTTGCAATGCAAAACAAGCACATTCGATCCACCACTGCCGACTGCTACTCTGTCTGGATGGCGGATCTCCCAGCCCGCTGCCTGCGCAACGTTCAGGGAGCGCTGTTGCCGTGAGGGGTCCTGCTCCCCTCAGGGTGACAGAGCACTCAACTGACCGGCGCCTCAGTCCAAGTAGCCCTGAGGGTCAGGCAGAGGTGCCGGCATCTGCCTGTCGTAGGGCAATGCGACGTCGCGAGGCTGCGGGGCCTGAAGCTTCAGGTTCGCTTTCCTCCCGAAGGGATCCACTGAGATTTTCCCAGAAATCCTCCTGAGGCCTTGCAGCCCATGGCCAGGAAGACGTCTCGGTCGATGTTTTCAGCCACAGGGAGCTCCGGCACTGCCTGTGAGCATGGTGGCGCTCCCGCTCAATCTAAAGGAGCATCCGAGGTGCGAGCCAGCAAGAACCCTCTTGCTCACGAAGAGCACTGCACAGACCACGGAGTTCCAGCTTCTCTGCTTCAGGCCTTGATTCGTTGGTTGGCCTGGGGAAAGGGGCTTGGATTCGCCTCCTTGGCACCTGGCAAGGTTCAAGTCTCGAACACCTCTGAATCCTGCCAGCCGCCTCGTTTCTACCCGCCTGCTTCTAGCGCGGGACGATGTACTTGCGTTGCAGCTACCGGCTCCTGGGAGCGGGCTTCTAGCATGTCAATGCTGGATCGACTCAACTCCCATGTTAGCAACTGTTAGCGCTGAAGCCGCTGGCAATCCAGTGTCGTTCCCGCCAAGCATCTTCGGCCTGTGCAAACTCCCTCACACACAGTTGTCCTGCGGCAGGGCAATGAAGAGCATATGAAGAGCAAAGCCTTTTCTGGCCAACTCGGTGCTGACCCGAGGCCTGTGTGACCTGAGCGCAGGGGTAGCCGATGCACGCATAGGCACAGGCACCTGCACCGCCTGCGTGGACTGGCGGCAGAAGACGGGGCGTGGACGTAGGGCTGGTGGCTCACGCGAGATTCTCACGAAATCCTGGAAGCCTTGCACAGGTGCTAGTGACTTGTACTACAAGCTTCCGAGTCCACAACCCGGTCCTCTGTCGACCTCTCTGCACATCTCCTGCACCGTGAGACCGGATGCCCAGACTTTGAGTCGCCTCAGGCAAAGAGACACCTCACTGTCGGCCTCAGCCGCCTCCCTCTGACGCACAGCTGACCTGGCATGCGAGACTTAAGGCGGATCAGAGCCTATTGCAAGGCGTCTGCGCAGGTCTCACTCTCAGCCTTGGCTGACTGACAGGAAGAGCCTGGCATCTGAAAAGGCAAGGCGGCAAACACAAACGCGCCCTTGAGAGCATATCTCTTTTCGATGCGCGCCCTCACTACAAGGACCGAAGTCTTGACTCTGTTGCAGGCCCCAAGGCGACAGCGCTTACGGCTTATAGGCATCTCAGCGACACTCGTCAAACGGCTTGCAATCTCATCGAAACTCCCAGCTCAAGGCGTGCCTGGATTTCGTATATACTGATGATCTGTAAGCTTCGGAGGAGGCCAACGAGCGTAGTGGTAGTCGAGCTCCTCTGCAGTTGGCTGGCCATAGAAGAGGAGTTGGCCGGGCTGCACTAGTAGCGAGAAACGTTCAAACGTGCGCTTCGTCCAGTCAACGTCAGACCCTGCACGGATGAAAGTTGTCTGGTCCGGCTTCAGACGTCCAGGGATGTTGTGGGACATGCCGTCTACGACGCAGAACTCAAACAAATGTCCACCACTGCACTGTGACCAGGTTGTACAGTTCACCTGAGCCAGCGCTGCACTGCTTCTAGTCTTATAGTGGGTGACGGCATGATAAGGTGCTGCTAGGCGGGCATGCAGACACTTCTGACTACCCGGCTTAGGGAGAGCTGAGTTGAAGCGTATTGCTGTGATGTCGCGGTGGCGGACAGCTGCTGCGCAACTTTCCCCTGGCATCCACATTCCTGGGCCCGCTCCCCTGTCATGCGGGCAATCTTCTCGAGGTTGATCTTCACGTCTTGCGATCCACCATACGTCAGGATGGAGACTGGCCTGGCCAGAAAAGCACATGAAATTGATGCGCGGAAAACGGGTTTCGTATGAGCAAGAGCTGGTACACCACTGTAGTGACTAGCTTGTCTCCGTGACTGTTCAGCCTCCAGAAGTTTTACACGTTTTTGGATGCTTGGTTACTGGTACTGGTAGCTGGTAGCTGGTAGCTGGTAGCATGGGCATGGGGCATTGGCTTTCCCTTTTTGGGGCTTGCGGGATGGGGGACGGGCCCCTTCAACTGCCCCTCAGACACACACACACACATGTGCAGGTCTCCAACTGAGAACTGAACAAGAGTTTGACAACTCAGCATACACAATTGACTGCTTCCCCAATTTACTACTTGGGGTTCTCGGCTTAGCCCCGTGCCAAGCATAAAATGCAGGTACGTGGTTCCAGCGTCCCAGAACCATATCAGCACACTCTGAAGAGCCCACTCTTCAGGTGTGGGGCATCCCCCTGCATGACAGACTCATTCACTCGCAACCTACCAGCAAATCCTTGGCTACAGGAATCACACACACACACCCCAACCTAAAGGAAGGAGTAGTTTCTACCCGTTATACGGCTGCGTGGCAGGTATGTCCTGAACACTCACGTCTGGAGGTTGGCTCCGAACTTGCAAGCTTGGCTTTGGCTCGAATCAACTCTTCCGTATCAGCAGTAGACGAAGCTGCAACGAGCAACTGTGTGGCCGAAACACTCTCCTAGTGCAGTCTGCTTCAGAAAACAGCCCTCGGTGTGCAGCACTTGGATCAGCAGCAGTTACGAGGGGTCAATGTGTTCCAATCACGATTGCTTGTGCGATTCCTTGCTCTTGTCGTCGTCTGCTTCTGTCGTCGTCTAGAGTCTAGAGTCTGGTTCACCGTATCAGCACCACCATCACACGATGACGAGCACGCCGAAAGGGCAGCATCATCAGCACCATCACACGACGACGCGATTTTCAGTGCAGCATTCGGCAAGGATAACACCGGAGTCAATCAGAGTCAGAGTCAACTTCTCCGGGCGAGGATTGGAAAACGAAGCACGAATAAGAATAAATACCAGTCGTCTGTCAAGCCACGCCATATTCTTGCTTCTGGAAAGCACGCCCCTGCTGAACACATTCGCTGTATATCTCGCATGGGCTTTCGTGGGTGGCCAAAACATTCCGAAGCTCTTCGCACAACATGTCGATGTACGGATAAGATCCCAGAATAAACACCAATCGTCTGTGAAGCCACACTGAGTGCCTGAACTGCAATCAATCATGTCAACCTCTCACAGACACCTACGCCACGACACAACCAATTGTGTTAGAGGTGTCCCGTTTCTGTCCCGCTTCTGTCAGGTGTTCCGATCAGGGAACGTAGCGACAAAGGACTTGAAAGCTTGAGTGGCAGCTGACACTTGACTCAAAGATCCCTAGGCAGACGTTGAGCAATCTGACGATTCACCGGCTCTACCTGCTGATACATGTTGCAATGCATCACTCATACGGCTGCGTGCGCGGAATCCACCAGCTTGCTTGTGCTTGCCCCTGCAAAAACGAGAGTTCCGAACAAATCCTTGGCTACAGGAGACACACGAGCGCGCCCCTTCCCGAGGGAAGGCGCAGTTTATCCGTCATAAGGCTGCGTCTGCCCTTGCTTCCGAAACAGCTCAGTAACAGCATCAATCAGCTCAGCAGTGCATTGTTTATCCTCTCGGATCTGCTCGCATGGGCTTTCATGGGTGGCCAAGAAATCTCCAGAAGCTCTTCGCACAACATGTCGTTATACGAATACGAATAAGGTCCCAAAATAAATACCACTCGTCTGTAAAGCCACACTGAGCGCCTGAACTGCAATCAATCACGTCAATCTGTCACAGACACCTACACAACGACACAACTAATTGCATTGGAAGTGTCCCGCTTCTGTCAAGTGTTCCGATCAGGGAACGTAGCGACAAAGGACTTGAAAGCTTGAGTGGCAGCTGACACTTGACTCAAAGATCCCTAGGCAGACGTTGAGCAATCTGACGATTCACCGGCTCTACAGAATCTTCGCTCTTCGGACGATTGACTTTAAGCGAAGTGATTGCATGCTTCTCGGGGCTTACGAGGGGTCAATGCAAAACCAGCTTGTGCAAGCTTGGCTTTGGCTCGTATCAACTCTTCCGTATCAGCAGTAAACAAAGCTGTACCGAGCAACTGTGTGACCGAAACATTCTCTGCCGCACTACGTGCCAGCGATGCAAAATCATCCGTTAGCAGCTTAACAAGGAAGTCCGCTGTGAAAGAGTCTCTTACGCAGCTTTCTCCAGAGTCGAATCCCAAACCGTAAAAAGCAAAAACGTTGCCAGCGAGAACGGAAGTCTAGTGCAGTCTGCTTCAGAAAACAGCCCTCGGTGCGCAGCACTTGGATCCTTGGCTTTGGCTCGCATCAACTCTTCCGTATCAGCAGTAGACAAAGCTGCAACAGGCAACTGTGTGACCGAAACACTCTCTACCGCACTGATTCAGCAAACAGCCCCGGTGCGCAGAACTTGGATCAGCTTGTGCGCTCCACATGGCACACAGAAGTCTGCAATCAGAAGTCGCTACTTTCGTGCTGACACAAATCTACTGCACTTGGACCAACTGAAATGCGAACACTGAGTTCAACGTCAAGAAAGGAAGACTTTCGCAACCACTCAGTTGGAGACCGTGTAAGTGTATGAAAGTCAGCAGACTGAATCTCGGGCAGTGACAGACAGAGCAGGTGAGCTTGCTTGGGTCAGGTGTTCCGATCAGGGAACTGCTCCTTGTCATTGACATGACCATCATCCGGGCAACCCCGGAGAAGACAGCGAGCTGAACGAAAGCTGTCTGGAGCACACATGTGCAGGTCTCCAACTGAGAACTGAACAAGAGCTTGAGAGGGGCTAAGCCGAGAAGCATAAAATGCAGGTACGTGGTTCCAGCGAACCATATCAGCACACTCTGAAGAGCCTCTTTGTTAGATGCCCACTCTTCAGGTGTGGGGCATCCCCCTGCATAACAGACTCATTCACTCGCAAGGAGTCACACACCCACACACACACACACACACACACACCTGCAAGCAACATCACCATACCGGTGGTGGTAGAGCGCCAGCCAGCCTAGAAGTCAGGAAGCCAAAATGACAAGAAACTGTGAAAGCCAGGCAGCCGAACGCAATCCCAAAACAAAATCTAGCTCCACAATCTTTTGCGCTCAACCGAGGCCTCGCAGAAGGCTCTGAGCAGATCTCTTCCAAGAACATAACTGGTTCAATGGGAGCGACACCACGAAAATACTGGCTCCGGTGGCATGCCAAGTGCCAGTTAAAGCCACCACCCGCGCTGAAGCCGGCTGCGAAGACCTGGTCCAAAGTTGGGTTTGGACAACGAAACAAACTAGCCCTCTAACTAAGCCATAGTTTTCTTTGGGAGTGCTGCTTCATCCGGCAAGCCTTTGTCCGGTCCACACAGGTGTGCTCCTCCACCCAATTCCAAATTGTGTCGACTAGGGTTACGTCCCTCTCTGGCACCCACCAACCACAAGCTTCGATCTTGGCAGAAACGAAACCACCCTTCATGCAGCACTCTTCGGAATCGCACCACCTGGAGCAGCACTCCGTCACTCCACCCATGGCCGACGGACTCTCCAATCGTGTCCCCCAGGGCAGAATTCCCAACCAGCCGTGGCGTGACAGCACATCCATGTAGCCAACCTCCCTTTCGTGGAACCAGGGAGACTCGAAAGTGCCGTGGAAGGACATCACGAGAGGGACCCCAGAGCTGCTGTGAACCTCGAGAACTCTCAACACTCTGCCAAAACACAGCACAGAAACGTCTTGTGTTAAAACCCTTCTAAGAGCTCTCTTGAGCTGTTGGGACCAGCAGTACAAGTTTCTTGATTTCTTGCTGCAGGCCACGAGCTCCGGGGGCACGAGGAAGAGAAATTGTCTCTCAATGCTGGGGAGCTGTACCAGGTGCATGCCTGGCCCGTACCCAGCCGAACAGGCATGATCCCCGGCACGAGCAAGGCGAGATTCCAAGCTGGTTTTCGTCTGCAGTAGTTGAACTGGAAGGCCTACCTCGGCATCCACGCTCTGCGCGGAAGCGGACGTCTGCTTTGGGCAGTCAAATGCCCCTGCGGCAGTCCAAGGCAAAGAAGTGAGCCAGTAGAGCAACGTCAGACTATATCTCAAAACATGGAAGAAGCCAGTGCTGTGCACTAGCATGGCCTCGAAGGGTGACGGGGCCGGTTCGGTTTTGAACTCAAACAGCATCGGGTGCACAATGCACTCACGCAAAATGCATGGGTACCGCAGGCAAAGCCGAGAAAACTGCATAAAAGCGCCAGCCTGCAGGCGGTCACTGACAGCGTCCAAACGACGAGCCACGTCCTCGAGGAAGGAGGCGACGCCGCCGCCTCCTGAGGCCAAGCACTAAATCGTTTCTCTGGGCAAGGACTCTACGAGTACCGCTGAAGTGAGAGCAGCTGAAGTCAGCTGAATTGAGGCCCTATTGGCCCCATCCTCCATCCGAAAAGATGCAGTCGCCCTTCTACGCCGCATCGGGTGCACCCCAAGACATTTTGCACTAGTGGCAAGGACACCTGAGGGCTTGTCCTCTTGGTGCGAGTGTATGCCCCATCAACAAACGGATTGTAGGTCCGGTCAGACCAACACTCTCAACACTAGCTGTTTCACGCTGTTGCAGCCGCGTCTGCTAAGGCTTGTCGACCACCAGATGCACCAGGTTGCAAGCACTGTCGTGCAAAGCCTCAGCCTCAGCCACAGCCCACCGTTCAAATGCACCTGTTTTGCACGACATCCAGGTCCTCGTTCACATGGACACCGTCCGAGTTGCACGATGGTCGGCTCGCAATCTGCACGCCGTTCGCGGTTGACTCTTCCGGTGATGTTGGTGGCTGGTCTGTGGCTTCGGTGCCCAATCCGCACATTCAGCGCGTCCACGACAAAGGCAAGGCCCGCCAGTCCGAAACTCAACTGCGGGCCGGTCCACGATAGTGACCCATAGTGTGCAAGGCCTTCCCTCCACCTTCCTGGCGACCACTGCAAAAATTGCGCAGCCGTCCTCAAGCCGTCAGGTCACATAGCTGAGACCGCCCATTCCAGTGCCTACGGCCTCAACCCATCTCGAAGCGCAGACGCTGCCACACCTGACCAAAATGGAGCACCGCTTTCCACACGCGCCTCTCGGTTGTCTCTCATACGTCGGCTTGCGGATTCGAAATCTGACGACGGCAGCATGACCAGAAGGCTTGCTATACTATCGAAATGCTGGATACCAGGAAACGCGAAGAAGTCAATAAAGCTCGACCAGAACTGAAGTGCCGCCGAGGTCGTCATGCTCAACGGAGAATAGGGCGGGCGACCTCCCTGCATGGCAATACGCTTTGGAACCCAGTCCAGCAGAGGCACAGATGCTGAGAATGGAAAGAGATACTTCGACAGATGCGATGGCATGAACAAGGGAACCCCCATGGCATAGAATTCATAAAACGTCATTAAAGCAAAGTCATGCGGGAAGAGGACAATGGCGCGAAATGTCACGAATGTTCGGATCGTTCGGTCTGTATCTGCCTTGGAGAAGAAGTTGAAAGGATAGCTGGCGGGCTTGAAGGCTCGGATAAGGCAGTGCAGGACGCAGGCTTCTCGGGGTTCGGGTACAAGGATGTCCCCCAACCTCTGTGGAGAGTATGTTTCTTTCAGATAGTTGGCCACTGGCTGCACCACGTGCAGTCGGACACCGCTCTGCCACGCAAGCTGCTCGGAATGCAAGCGGTTGTTGGAGACAAAGAAACTTGTAGGCATGGAGGCCATGTCGATGAACTCGTCGATCCAGCTGAAGGGGACATGCACTGTAGGTACTACATACATATATATATATATATGTTTTACTGTCAACTACTGCCACTGCAGAAGCTGTCTGAAAACACCCTCTCGTTGCCTTGACCAACTGCTTTCCGGCACCATGTACAGCAGGGGAAGGCCAAAGTAGCCCAGGATTGTCTTGTTGAGGCCAGCGAAGAAATTGCAGTAGTAGATCGGGTTTGTGCACAGCAGGAGGCTTGCTTTTCGTATTTCAACCTTGTTGAAGAGGCTTCCTTGCACCCACTCATGGAAGCCTCTTCTTGACTGGTCCATATCTTCGAAGACGGGGAAGCTGTAAGGGACGCTGTCCTGCCTTAGAATGTGCCGCGTTCCTCTTTGATTAGTCAAGGAACCCTTTTTAGCATGTAACCCCCGGACGGAACAAGTTGCCGCTGAGCTGCTGGTTAGGACAGTTCGGGCTACAAGACCGTGGAAACGGATGAACAAACGCCTCGGCCCGTCCCTGGTATGGCTTGATGGGGTTCTCGTGGACGACGTCATAGTTCGAAAGCACGTGCTTCAGCATAGAGACAGGCTCGTTGGAGAGCGCACGGTGGGTCCCCAACTCTAAGATCCAGAAGCCCGAAGAGCCCTGAGACTCCGAAGGCGACGGGGACTTGGGGGCCGTCCCAGGACCCCAGTCTAAGTACTGGTGGAGGAGGGAGACTTGCGGGTATGCAAAGTTCTGGACCATGTCCCAAAGCGTTAGAATCGATAAGCCCCAAGCTGCCCAGGTCGAAGACTCAAGGAAGTCCAGGCAAAGGTTCCAGTGGAGAAGCCGCATTGCGTGCCTGGCGAAGTCCTGAGACACATGTTCCTCCGTTGTGTACTTGGCCAAATAGGTGAGGGCCGCGACATGTCCGTAGAGGCAGTACTCCGTCCGCTCCTGAAAATGGCAGCTATGATAGAACGAGGCTGCGCCCGGCGGATAGTCTTCTATGCCAGTGTGCAGCATACCTGTACCAAGTGCCGGCATGGGGTTGAGAAAAAAACAATCATCGGACTAAGTATCCTGACAGAGACCAAAAGGCTGCCAGAACAAGACCTCGTGACCATACCACTTCTTGTAGAGCCTATGAGCTTCACGAGCCAGCGAGGGATGGAACGACGGAAAGGAAGGTCTTCCAGCGTCTTCGCTCCGCGCAGGTGCATGTTCGGACACTTCTTCGAACATACTTCGAAAATCGTGCCAATCCGAATGCTCTGGCCCCGAGCAGTCCACGAAGTCCGGGATCACGATCTCAATGTTGGGCGCCGCAACTTGCGCAAGATTCTCGTGAGCGCCCAACATGCCTGTGAGGGAGAGCACGGTCTCTCTCTGATTTGAACAGGAAAACCTGCGGCATAGCAGCGTGACTGAATGCGGACATCCTTCACACACCCCTCGAGCATACAGGACTTACAAAATGTATTGCTGGACACGTGCTGTCAGGCATTGGCATTGGTGGCAGCCGCAGGAAACCATCCAGTGTGATCTGGTGGCTCGGCAATGGAGATATTACGGAGGATTGTTGACATGCACCACTGCCAAAATACCATTGCATCGCCCATTGACTGTTGCAAGTACCAAGAGAATACGAAGAGTAGGGAGTGAGAGAGGTAGAGGAAGGGGGAGGCTGAGGGGGAGAAGCAAGGGGAGGGAAAGAACTATGTCACCAGCATGTGCATAAAACCAAGCACATACGCACTTGTAATCGGCTTGTGGTCGGCCGGCGGCTCAATGGTCAGGGGTCGATACCCGCTTTGTCACAGTGATTAGCTGAATGCACAGAAAGTGTTGTGAAAAAGGCCCTACCAGGCCCCCTAAGGCAGCTCCAGCTCTCTCGTATCAGCATAGCTCCATACAGATCCTGCCTCGATTCCGGGGCTGCTCCGCAGCAGCACTGGGAGTTGCCTGAAGCTGCCTGGCAGCCCGAGAACTTGCAGGACCAAGATCACCTAGCGGACCTAGCAGTTGGACAGGTTGAAGCCATGCAACTTGACTAGATCATGGCGATTGTGGCGACATACAAGCTTTAACTCAGCCCAAAGCTCGGTTTCCGAGCACGCGCCTCAGCTTCAACTCGAGGTTGTGTAGCTTCTCTTGCTGAGCCTTGAACAGGAAAGAGCTTGGCACCGTCGACTACGTACTTGCATCTATGCGAGGTTCTGCCCTCTGTCCCTGTTTGTCCCTGCTTCGGGTCATGCCGAGAACTGCGCATAGAGCGTGGCCACGATGCTTCTAGCCCCACGTCCTGCGACAGAAAATCAGCGTTGCATACAATTTTCTCAACCTCACGCATGGCCATCATAGCCATCGCACCTTCCAGGGAAGCACTACACCTCGCACAAGCGCACCGAAGCAGAAGCACTTTGACTTTTGCGACACCGTAATCGAGAGAAGGGTTGCTCGTTAATCGGCATGTTGTATCATCCGGGACGGCGGCCACGACGAGCGCCGGCTATCAGCCTCAGAGGGTAGCAACGCATGTCTTCCGAAGAGTTCATCTTGTTCTTGTTGCACATGATTCCTCTTTCCCGAGGGTCGAGCATGGCCACTTCCCCATTCGGGCATGGCTGCTCCGTGCCATGACATGTAAATCTGTGACAGCTGTAGACGCCGACCTTATTTGGTTCGCCTCCCCAAGTGGTCGGTGCCGTCCTATCGTTAACTTGTCCAGGTCTAAAACAGAAACAACACCTGCACTCACTTCATCTGTGCAAAGCACCAGGAGTGTGTTCACAGTGGAGACGACAGGGACCACGACTAAGCGTGAGCCATGAGCGGGCAAGGTAGCTTGACAAGTAAAACTCGCACTCGCACAAAGCACGGTTCACTGCGATGTAAGAGGCAATAAAGACATCTTCCGTCCTGGTGTGAAAATGCACGAACCTCTTCCAGCGCTAGGTCGCTGCTATTGGAACCTGGAAGCGAGGCGCGCTGCCCCTAGCCACTTCGAGGCAGGGCACAACGCTTGCCAATTTCTGGGCTACTTGGAAGTAGTCAGCCAGGGTCCCTGATGACTGGACTCTCTGCCCAAATCATCCATAACAGTCGTGCCTTGGGCACGGCCACTTTAAAAATTTGAGACGGCAGGTGCTGAAAGGCCACAAAAGCCCCAGCAGTAATGTACAGCGTCAGCCGCGGCAAACAAAGAACAAACACTCCCATACACATTTTTCCTAGGGTCCGCATCTTGGGCCTCGAAACCGCGTGATGCCGCGAAGAGGCAGAGTTGTCTCAACTCAGGGGTCCTCTGTATTTTGGAAGAAGAGGCTAGGCTGCTACTAGCCGTCATGCATGAAGCTGCATGAGGTAGGCCAGGTTAGGGAAGGCAACTGCAATACGGAGCAATGCTTCAAGAAGGAAGGGACGCAGTAGATGTTGAGAGTCATGAGCCGACATATCCCACCAACGGACAGCTGGAGCACGAAATACTGGTCTCCTCCGGAGAACCAGATCAGGCAGATCATGCGTCAAAACCGAATCAGAGAGACTTGCTGCTCACAAGGATCCTCAGGCCACAAGAAGCTGATGCACATCCACTGTGCTGCGGCAGTGTCAGACGTTTGAACTGTGAGGCTTTCTATGCTTCCTGTTATTCTTTGGAGCCGAGGCCATCTGAAAAGGGGGCTAGAAAGGACACGGGAGCTGCAGCAGGCCCTTGTAGCTACTCCTGGGGTCCAGGCCCTGAGAGGCTCGAGAGGCTCGGCGCATGGGGCGAAAGCATTCCTCTTTGAGGAGCTGCACTGTGCCTGAGGAACACTTGTGTTCGAGTGCGAGGTTGTTTCGAAAGCCTGCCACTCGCTTGCAAATTCATGATTACTCACGGCGTGTGGGTGCGCGCATGCAAAGCTTGGCATGCCAACGCATGAGCCTGTTAAATATGACCACGTCGGCAAGGTCTCAGCCTGCCAGACATCGCCTTTTGCCCGGCCTCGAAACGGATCCTTCTTTGCATCGCATTTGGCATCGGCAAGCTGTATTGCCAAGACCTCGTCATCGTAGTCCACGTAAGCGTGGCCTTTCGGCCGAAAGACTCGGGCTCGCACTGCTTGCGCTGAGCTGCAAACGTCCATGCTCTCCAGCCTAGCGTTCGTTGGGTGATGGGGTGCACCTGAGCTCCGACAGAAGACCATCCAGACTTCAAAGGCCATCTAGAATCTGGAACGTTCCATGAAGATGCCCCAGGTTTTCCCTACCTAGCTTCTCCCTGACCACTGCTACCGGCCCAAGCCCAGCAGCTTGCTGTGGCAGCCGAAAACACTCTCCTAAGGCTCGAAGAAACCTGGACGAGTAGAATGAGCTCCACGCCGCAACTTCGATCGCCCTGGGTTGCGGTGCACGACGCAGGCTCACCAAGGTAAGGATTGCGTCCTGTTCGCACAGGTTTGGATTTGAGTAGCGTCTGAGTACTGCAGCCCTGCCTCCAGAATGTCTGGCCTCATCACCACACTCACATGCTACAGGGGTGGGCTTTCTGACAGCTTCGGTCTGGAACAACGAGATGCAGACGGAACATTGGCTGGCCTAGGCTAAGGCTAGCCCGTTAGTCTCAATACTGTGGCACATTGGAACAGGAGGTTGAAGCATAAGATACATCCGGGGAGCAAGTGTTCGAGACGAACTCGTCCACCTGGTGGAGTTCATCCAATCCAAACAATGCGTCACAACGCAATAAAGAGAACTTAATGTGACTTCTGTTAGCAGCAGCCTTTTGCAAAGAGAGTCGGGCTGCATCAGCGAGCAGACGACGCTTCTGGCATCTGCGAGTAGTTGTCGAGCCCATTACATCAGCCAGCCTTGGAATCTTGGTCTGAGCCTCGACTCGGGACGAAGCCGAGACTCAGTGAAATTCTGTACAGCTCCAGGGTTCCATCTGTTGCTACATGGCCTCCCCTAGTTGGGGCGCCCCAACGATGCCAGCAGCAGCGGCTGCCAAAGCGTCGCTGCGTCTCCAGGCGCTGGCCTCTCGCCGGGAGGCCTCGGCAGCGCTGTGAGCTCGCCGCTCCTCCCGACTGTGGCGCCTCCCGGCTGTGACTGTGGTGAGCTCTGCGGTGCCAGGCGTGCTGCTGCGAGCTCTACTTGCGTGCGGCCGCTGGGGACCCGAAGGAAAGGGGATTCCTGGGATCCCTTCTCCCTTGACGTCGCTTTTGCCAACGGGCGGTCTGCCAGCACGACTGCCTTGGGCAGCCGAGGGCACTGGCACCACCGGTGGCATCACCGTCTCCACTGACTCTTCCAACAGGGCACACAAGTCATCGCGCAAATCTGCAGGAAGACCGCTCGCAGTGTCTAAAGCCTTCCGAAATGCAGCAGCTTTGTCCTTGTCAAGCTGTTCTGTAAGCCGGAAGTTTGGAGAAGCTCCTCCGGTTGAGCTGCCTTGTTCACTGGCAGGAAGCGGAGAAGAATGCGGCGGAGCTGCAGCTGGCTGCTCCGGTGACTTCTTGTAGCTAAGGGCATTCAAATCATGGCACTGAACAGCAGGACTGTCCCTTTTGTGTGAAACTTCGAGGGGTGAAACTAGAGCCTCCGAAACAGATGCATGGGGCAACTCGGGCTGCTTGAGTGCCCCATGAAGCACTGCCAAGCCGGCATCAATGGCCACAAAGCGCGAATGCGATGCGATGGAATGCTCCCAAACCTCGGGCAGGTCGTCGGCGAGCCCGTTCACCGGATTCTCTTTGAACTTCTCGTTCTCAATCTCCTGCGAGGCCTTGCTGGGCTCAGGCTTGCTCTGCAGCTGGTCCAGCAAGCACTGCTGCAACTCCTGAGGCGCATCAATACCCTACAAGAACGTTCTAAGAAAGAGCGTCAAAACAACCCGTGAAGGATGGCGCCAAGACTGCCTTGGCTTGGGTCCCACAAAGACTAAGACTCGAGAAAACCCCCGGTACCCCGAAAGGCTGGTCTCTCCTGGAGGTGTCGGTGACGATCGTTGATAGCGTCTTCCTTCACCTTCAGAGCCTGCTCCCGTGCCTCATCTCGCTGGTTTCTGAGCTCCAAGACTTGCCGCTGCATCTCGCTTGCCAGCAGCCTCTGCTGCTCCACAAAGCCCTGAAAGCCCAGCTCCTCTCGCCCATCTCGACCATCTCGCCGCTCTCTGTCGCCTTTCCTTCGTGGCGGAGAGCACGTACCGGCCCAAGTTCCTGCTGTATCTGCTGGGCCTGCGGATGGCACCGGCGACTGCCACTCGCGGAAGTCTCGGCTGGGAGAGGCCTCGCAGTCTCGACAGTCTCGAGGATCGTTGCGGTCGTTGCGGGTCCGCCTGGACCGGCCGTGGCGCGTCTCCCGGAGCCGATCCCGGGTTTTTCGGAGTCTGCCGGATTGGGACTCGCGCCAGGGCTCGTCACGGAATCGCTCCCGGGTTCTAGTGGAGCGACCCGTTGCGGTCTCCCGCGCTTCGGTATCCGCCTCGCGAGCACGAGATGCCTTCTTCGCCTCATGCTTCTCCGCCTTCCGAAGCTCTTTTTGGTTCTCTTCTTCAATCTCACGTCGAAGGCGTTGCTCCTCTCGATCCTCCTCCTCCTTCTGACGCTGCCTGGCTTCCTCCTTCCGCTGCTTCGCTTCCTCCACCTGGGCCGCCAAGACCCTTTGGAGCTCCTGAGAAACATGCGAAAACTGCGAAAGGAGCAGCAGGAGGAGGAGCAGCAGCAGCAGAAGCAGTAGAAGTAGCAGTAGTGGTAGCGGTAGCAACAACAATAGCAGTATAGGCCTCAGCAATTGAAACTGTTCGAACCACCAACCCTGTTCAAGGACATACCCTCACGCCCTTAAGCCCAAACCGCTACATTTACATCAATTATCAGACCGCTCGTCTGGCAAGCTCGACGCTGGGCATAGCTAGGCTAGAGTTGGACATAGTTGGACCCTTTCCCACGTGAGCTCCTGCTGCTGTCTGCGACGCTCTAACTCTCGCTGGTCCGGCTCGGGCTCTGGCCGCCGCTGTCTCGGCCCCAGCTGCGGACCAGATCTGCCCATGCCCTCCCAGGGCCCAGAGGGCCCAGGCTCCTCTTTTGGAGCTGCCTCCGCTCGAGCCTCGGACTTGCTTTCAGTCTCCTTGCGAGCTCGCTGCTCCTTGATCTGCGCGGCTAAGGCCATCTGCATCTCCTGCTGCTGACGTCTCTTCTTCTCCTTCTTCTCTTGCTCGTCTGTGAGCTCACCCGGAAAGGCGAAGCCGAAGCTCTGTGCCGGAGGGTTCCTGGCTGATTTCATCCCTCCCTGGCTCTGGATGCTCTGGATGCCCTGGCCCTGCACGGGCGGAGCCGGAAAGGCGACCGGCTGGTGAAGGGGAAGTGGCGCATTCTGGGGGAGCTGCTGATTTTGCAGTTGTAGCTCCTGCCAGGCCGGCAGAAAGTTCACGGGTGCCTTGCGGGAGGCTGGTGCCCAAGGAACACCGGGGAAGGGCACTGCCGCCCCAGCAAGGTCCGCCAAACTGTGCTGGGCGCAGGGGGTGGCCTCGGCTGCCCACGGCGGCGGGGCCGCAAAGTTCATGAAGGACCTACGCCTGCTCGTTTCCAGTGCTGCTGGTGGGATTGGCTCTCCGGTCTTATCTAACCTTGTATCTAAATTAGACACACCTGAGAGGAAGTGGGCTGGGATGGTGGAGTCGAGCATTTTGAGAGGCGGACATATGGGCTAAAGATACATGCGGTCCTCTGATCCAGATGGCACCCATGACAGGACAAGCGGGCTAACCTGTGCACTTTGGCTTTAACGTGGTGCATCACACCACGCGGTTCTCGCAGCGAAGCAGCAGCCACACCATGCACGCATGCACCCAAGCCCCCCCGAGAGGTTTTGAAGCTGACATGTGCAGATGCCGCTTAAGGCCTGGCAACAATGCTGCCGGCTGCGGAGGAGGCTCTTCAGACCTTAGCAAGCACAGTTTCCACAAAACGGGCTCACAGGAAAGTCTTGGGACTACTGCTCGCTATTCCGGCTGTTCCTCCTCTCGGGCACAGGAGCCTGCAGGACACTCTCCATTCACATGGCAGCAGTCAGAGAAGCGTGGGGCAGGCCTTCAAAGCAGGAAGGCTCTGCGACTGACTGAGCTTCTTGCCGACCTGATGCAGGCTGGAACAGTCTGACAGGCATTGCATCGGGAAGAACTGAAGCTATCAAACAGCTTGACCTGCCCGGCTTGTCCACGTCTCCTTCTTTTTACCACAGCTGCAGGCTTCAACATGTGGCATCGCGGCAATGACCACACTACAACAGGTGGACTCTGTTGCGCAGCCAACCGTTCCGACGGCCGGAGACAGGTAGCCAGACCCCTCGTAGTGGCTTTGAAGAAATGCCCACCGAGCAATCAGACACCTTGCGAAAACCTTGAGAATGGCTCTGGAATTGGCCAAAAGTTACACAATGGGTAGAAGCGAAAGCAGGGGCGATGAGCTTCCACTTCGAGAAACCTGCCCGCCCTTTCGGGGCCTGGAGCCGCTCGATCTGATTTTTGAGAAGTTCCCGCACCTTCGGCACCTGGCTTCAAGCTAATTCTGCTGCTCTCTGCGCAGCCTGCATTCCGTCAGGAGTATCAGTGGGACAGCATTAAGCCTTCACAGATGTCACGTCCAGGCAGAGAGTTTCTCCTGCGCAGAAAGCGCTTCACGCAGCAAGGGGCCTTGGCAACGTCCGCTGCGGTGCATTTGTCGTCGTTTCGAGCCTTCAAAGCACGTTTGGTGCTTTGGAGCAGCACACGACATGGCTACTATGTCCAATCCAGCACGTTGCATGCGAAAGCAGTTCCTGTGTCTGAGCAGGCCGTTGGAATGGGGTGTTGTGTACTTCGGTTCACCTTCCCTCTTTCGAGCTATGCAATGCCTGCACATCTGCACGTGCCGCCAGGAGGTGCCTGACAATCAAGCCCTAGAAAGACGAGTCGCTATCCACTTCGGCAGCAGATATAACAGTCATGCAATAGCAAGAAGCAATGCAGCGGCTCAGCACATTGCCGAACCAATGACAAAGCTGAAGCGCTACCATGGGATTGAGGCTGCCGCTCCACAATCATCAGAGTGGTACGAGACGAACCTCGTGCTGCCAGCATCAGAATCGTGTTGCCTCCGCGACGACACATTGCTTCTGCTTTGACTTCTTATACGGTCCAACTATCGCATGTTCCCCGCCTGTTTTGTCAGCCACCTCCAAAGATGCCTTTCTCTCCAAGAGCAGGGAGGTCACGCGCACATGGCCGGCCTCTGCAAAAATTAGCATCGGCCGCACAAGCATGCCCATTGCAAGGCGCAAATCCCACGGCACGTGATGCGAGGACCTGCACCGCCAGCCCTAGCGGAGTTCGGCCGTCGTCGTCCACTTCTGCCAGGGCCTGGCCATGTGCATTCTGGAAAAGCTCGGAAGATGGCGATGGATGCAAGGAAGGACTGGGCGGAATGCAACATGCAGCAATGCTTTTTCAAGTACCCCGAGCAGGCCTTGAGGCCAAAATCTTAAATGCTCGAATGTTGCCTCCCTAGCATTCAGCCGACGGAAACCGCGAAGCAAGTGAACTTCTGCCCGTGTTGGGGCGAGGAACCACACAGTTCAAGCTGAGTCCCCACGGCCTGCGACACACCTCGGATGCAACTACATGATTATATGAAGACGGGGTCCAAATACGTGACCACGCGGCTGAAATCAACTTTTGCTGGAAGCGATTTGTTGAAGGCCTCAGCTTGCTCGTACCTGCGAGTCCAAAGGCGGGGAAACTGCAATCTCAAATCTGTGTTACGGCTCAGGCAAGCGCAGTGCCATGTCTGGCTGCTTTTGTACTTTGATCCTCTTGGCCTTTTCCTCCTCATCTTCACTGACATCGGTCTTTCGGCTACGCCAGCTTTGCTGCGACACAGCTGATACCTCATCGCATCCAACAGGGCAACCCGAGGCACATCTTCATGGCAGGTTGTAAGAAGCATGGTGTAGTGAGCCGGGAACCGACTCAGCTGGCTCAGTAGGCTCCAGGTGAGCTTTGCTCCCCTCCTCTGCTTGAGATCGATGGGAATCTATCGGCGGAAGCAGCACGAAAGATGCACGGAGCTTCTGGCCTTCTGAAGCTTCGCCCTGGTGCTGCTCTTTGGCACCTCGAGGTGTGAGCCCTCCTTGATGCCTTTTGATTCAGGGTCGTCCCTGGCTTCCTTCGGATCGTCGCGACAGAGATCGGACCAGGGCATTCACACGCACGTTCCGACCCCACGGGCCACAGCAGCAAGCGCACTATAATGCACAGTCTGTGGCCCGGGTCCTTGCGCTGGTCCTTTCCTTAGATGGCATGCCCTGGAGGATCTGGCCTTTGCCTACAGCTGAAACATGATCATCCGACTAGACGCCTGAATGGCTTCGCGTGGGACTTGGCTTTCGCTCACTTCCATCCTTCTTGCTATGGTCCTGTGCTTGGTCTTCCCTTCCCGCCAGCGCAAGCGCCCACGAACAAAGTTCAGCTCGAGCAATGAAGGCGCGGTCTGCCCCTCATCCACATTTGCCCCGTCCTTGTCTGCATCTTTGCCATGGCCCTCGCCTTTCCTCGGCCTGTGGATGCGAGAAGCTCTGCCCTTGGCCATGTGGCCTTTCACGTCTCAATTAGGGGCATGTTCGGCGCACTTGCCGGTAGATTGGCTGGGGGCTTCCTCGGCGTCTGGAAATTCCACCACCTGCAGAATCAAACAGCTCCGGTGGCACGTTCCGAAGCTTTGCCCGAGCCTTCTCTAACTTTGCGCCAGCTTTCTCCAAAACTTCCTGATCTTTGGGCCTCCTCTTCGATGCCTATATAGACGTATGCAACTCGAGAAGCACTTGAGCGCAGCCGATGCCACGAGCCTTTTCACTTCGTGCAGCCACAGGACCGCCTGCATGCCGAACAACTCTGCTCGGATGCCAACCCCCCACCTGGGGGAACTCAGGCGCTTGAAGCTTCCAGGGTGGCGGGGTTCTCAGACGGCTAGCAGTTGGACACAAGATGGTCCCTGTGCAGCCCGGACGTCGCCTGAGGTTTTCTCCAAAAGCGCATCCAGTAGAGCCTCGTATCGCTCTTAAACAGCCATTCCGATACTCTGAAGCTACGCACAGCTCCGGACAAATCCGCCAAACCAGCAGATCACTTTCGGCTTCGGAGTGCTATTGTCAAACTTATCAAAACACCCAAACCCTCGGCAATTCCCTCCGATTTCCTGAGCCCGCAGCATGCTGGCTATGCAGTGCTGCCAGCGCCGTCAAGCTCCGCCCACCTTCACACGCAGAAGAAGACTGTGCGGGAAGAAGACAAATAATAAGAACAACTGCAATAATGTTCAATTATTGGCTATTCTTATTTTCATAACGATTACGATTACGATTAAATTACTATGACTATTGATCTTACTCTCACTCTGACTCTTACTATTACTGTTACTACTACTACTACTACTACTACTACTACTACTACTACTGCTACTACTACTACTACTACTACTACTGCTGCAACTTCTGTGACTCTTACTACTACTATTACTATTTATTTCTGTTATTATTGCTATTATTAATTACTGTTATTGTGACTGTTGTGACTATCATTCTGATGCTGGCTTTAGGCTTGCCGCCTTCGCCTCGGACGCTCGCATCAGCTCGCAGCTTCAGCAGGCAGAGCATGGCCGCAACCTTTCCGCCTATTGCGGTGGCCTCAAGGGTGCACAAAAGCTGCCATGAGTTTGGGGAATAGGCCTTCACTAAGCCTACAGGTCGCGAATCCTGAGTGTGCTTCTTATCGGAAGTCGAACCATCTAGCTATTAGATCCAGCACCTACACGATGCACCACAACACAAAGAAGAGCACGTCTCAAGGTGCCAAGGCCAGGGCTTGCAGCGGGGTCCGCCCTTCAAAGCCCTGTCGAACAGGTTGAGCATCGGGCTTCAGCAGCTCAGCTCAAGAAAAGTGCGGACAGCGCTGAAGGGTGCCTTGACATCCAAACTAGCCGATGCGCAAGTCAGCAGAACCAGACTGAAGCAATGATTGCCTGCAGCCAACAGTACGGAGCTTGACCAACAAACGCGAAAGCAATGCTTAAAGCAAAACAGGTCAAAGCAAGTATATAGGTCTTTCGGCACCGTCACTCATTGACATTCTTGGCGCCGCACTTTTTGCCGCCAAATGAACTATGGTATCACCTGGTTGTGCACGGATCTAATGTGTGTTGGCTGTTTGTTTGCCCAGTTGGCAATTGAGGCACCCGCCCGAAAAGGCCTTGGCATGCACATCAGCATTGTGGTAATGGAGCACTGAAGCCACCTGCCAACGACTGAATCTGCAATGCTGTGACATCTTGCAAAGATTCGACCCTGAGCCTCTGCCCAATTTCTGTGAGCCTTGGCTCCGAGATTTTCAGTGAGGCTACCAGTCTCAGTCTCTCCGTGAATCTGAGACCTCCGCTGCCCAATGGATAGGAGTCCAGCCACACTGCTCGCGGGCATTTAAAGATGCGCGAGCCTTCACACCAACATTCCGCAGGGACATCGCAAGTTCCCTCTGAGTTCAAGTATGCTTCGTGCCTGTATAAGCTGCCGAACAGCTTGAACACTGCCATGGCTTGCAGCCCATCCAAGCGGGGTCTTTTGCGACTGCAGAAACATGAGAGGCTGGACTGCAATTTTCTTGGCAGGTCGACAGCATCTGCCTCGTCTGGTATCTCCAGCCACGCCCCGTGTTCGATGGCCTGCAGAGTCCCGCGCATGCGCCCTTCATGCCTGCCTGGGCTCTCCTGCTGCTTCGGCACTGTTCCGCAGCGGGGCCTGGAAGACGCCCTTCCACCATCCCTCCTTGGCAGCGGATACCAGAAGCTTGTTCGCCTTCACCGCGTCGCGAAGGACCTGCAGCGGAGCAGCTTTGCGTTCAGACAATTCCGGGGCCACATTTTGCCCTTGCTAGCACAGCGCTCATCCAGTGATGCCTCTTGGATCGATGTCTGATACCTCAAAGCTTCACGAGGTGATGGATGCCATGCACTTCGCCGCATCCGCATCATCCGCATCCCTTGTGTCGCAGGTCAAGTTTGAGGAGAAAACTCTGCATTTCGAAGCCAGGGAGAACTTGCCCGAGAGGCCTGGACCAGCGCCGAAAGAAAGCAGACAAGCGAAGCCCGGCAATCAGCCTCCAAGCTCGGATCAGCTCCGTGGCGCGTCAGGAGGCGGACCTGGACGGCATCTTCGGAGCTTTGCGGCTTTGCGGTTTGTGGCAGTGATGCCCAGGCTGCTGGCCATGGAGAGGTTGCGCTGGGACGCAGCATGAAGCAAGGGACTAGCGCCGTCTGCATCCAGCGTGTCCACAAAGGCGCCAGCCTCCAAGCCCGTTCGATTTATCCTGTGTCTCATGACAAAATCCGCTAGCCGCCAGCCTCAAGCGCCATGGACGCTTCGTTGAGGTCTCCGGATTTCGCGGAGTTGAGCAGGCGTCGATTCAGAGCCTGGCGCCGGCGACCCGGGGACGGGCGGCTCCCAACGCTGCTGCCAGGCCTCGAATCGCTCCAGCATCTTCCTGGCCGCCTTGTGCTGCCGCGCGTGGTGCATCACACTGTGGCCTCGGAGTTCGGGAAGGCTTCATCATGCCTCATCCGGCGGCAGGAGCCGTCACTTGGCATCTAGCCTCCAAAGTCCGTTATGCTGAGGTCTGGCCTGATGCAGCAATCACCCAACACAAACATGCAACGATAGGTGTCTGTCTGGGGGCCACACCCGTCACCCAGTAACAACCTCATGACATCCACATGACCGTGGCCTGGCAGCTGCACAGATCATGACCCAAACATGATCGACACTGTCGAAAGAAGGCTTATATACGGCTTGCAATGAGGCCCCCACGGGTAGCCCACATCAATGCGGTCATGCCCTGGGAGTCTTTCAACTTCGCCTGCAACCAGCAGCGGGCTTGTGCAGTTTTGGCCTTTGTTATCCTCTTTGCCGGCCATCGGCCCTGAACCCTAAACCCAACAGGCCCTACAGGGTCTTCTTGCAAAGCCAGAAAAAGGCCTCCGCATGCGCAGCGAGCAGGGCAGCGACCACGTCAGCACGCCCAGACATGGAGGCCCTGGCAGCGAAGCGGTGCACCCATTGTTGCAACATAACCTCTGCACTTGGAACTGGAAAGCTGGGCCGGTGGCCACATGAGTGGCGTCCAACCTTCACTGTTCTTGGAGTCCTCGGCTTTCGAGATCTATTGAATGCCAGGCTTTTGCTTCCGACTACCTTCCGTCGGCCTCCAATGAATCGAGTACTGTAGCTCCGTTTCTGACCAGAGCTGTGCTACATATACATGTATACACACACACATATGTATGTATGTATGTATGTATGTATGTATGTATTTATGTATGTATGTATGTATGTATGTATGTATGTATATATGTACACCCAAGCCACTGCATCTCCTAGGTCCCAGGGTCGTAGTGTCATACGGCATAACGTCTGCCCCATGGAGAAGTGCAGGCAGGACACCAGGGCAACTTTGTGCTGCACTAGCACCTGCACCGCAGCAACATGACCTGCAGAGACACTGCAAGGAGCGTGTGGGAGGCCTGGGAGGGTGTATCTGTGGGTCGTTCAGCTTGTACAATGATACACGCAGGGGTCACAACACAAGCGCATGGACTGTGCATGGCCTGCTCGAGATGCCAAGTGCAGAGGTGTATTTCCAAGGTTGCAACGGACTTTCGAGTCGGCCTGGCACGAGGTACCAGGATGCTTTGTATCATCTGCACGAGCTACCAAACGAGCTCGCCACCTGAGCCTCCTGAGTAAGATCCAGGACGGAAAAGCGCGATCCAACACGTTGTGACCACGACAAAGCACCGTTTCCGTGGCCAAGATTGTCTTCAGATTCGGGCATGCTGTGAACGGCAGACACTCTGATCTGTGCTTCCGGCCAGCAGTAGCTTCACAACGCCCTCGTGGCCAACACTGCTTGCAAGCGCCAGCGACGTGTACCCGAAGACATCCTGACAGGTCCAAGATAACCAACTGGAGACATGAGCAATAGTCACCCACCTCTCGCTCATTGAGGTGCTTCCTGTTGAATGACCTAGTACTGCTGCTGGCACTCAATGGCACTCACCCGGCTTTCAATCCCCCTGCATCAGCACTTTCAGGTTTCTCGGGGCAGGACTGCAAGACATTCCTCAGAAACTGGAGGTCCACCCAAGCCTGCTACTCACAGCACAGGTGATTCTACGCTCTACACTTGCTCGCAGATAGGTGGCCTTCTTCCTGTTCTGAGAAGCCAAGACCTGATGAGTACAGCTCAGCTAGGCCTTCTCCAGCGGGACAGAGTCAGTAGTCATCCAAAATAAATAAGTACTGTTTCGATACGGATGAAGAACCCAATGAACAACACGCTGGCATGTCCCACGCGCACGCACAATGTACTATTCGTGAAGCTCAGGAACGCGAACTGCTCAGGCTCTGTCCTGGAGGTACTTGATCAAGGAGAAGCCTAGCAATCCACTTGCATGCGCACTGCAGACTATGCAGACTGAAGTGCTTTCTTTATCTCCCTTCTCTCAATGGGGGCCTCTGAGATCCTCGTCCTGCACCGGGACCGAGCTTCGGCTGCTCCTGCAAGGCCCCACACTCCGTGAGACTCTGGGAAGGTCCGGGATGCCAGAGCTGCTGACGCTTTGGAGGGCGACGTGCCCGTCTTCTCGGCCGTCGGCAGCGTCTTCTTGTCGACCTCAGGTCAGGCTCAGGGACAGGCCGGTTTGTGCCAGCACAGCACAATCAGGGCAAGGCCAGACTTGAAGAAGCTGACCCTACTGTTGCGCTGCCGGCTGAGACACTTGCTGTCGGGAGCTTGCCTAGGAACAAGACATGCAGACTCTCGTGGCGCTGCCCTGTCGGCGGACAACCTTGCCTTTGGTGCGCTGCCGTGCGATTGGGGGAAGGCGATCTGCCCCGGATTCGACTGTGGCCTCCTGATGGCAGCGTCTGCGACAGCTCCGGCTTGAAGAATTCCCGTGCAGCTCCCTTTTCCCCGGCCTGCACTGTCGGCAGGCCCGACGAGGTCCGGTTCATGGCCGCTTCATTTGCCCAACTATGAGCCTGTGAGCCAGGCCTCGTTTCCTTCGTTCGATTGTTCATCGAAAGCAGCAGGAATATCATCCTGTGCGTGCTTTCAGCAGGCTCTCTCAACTTTTTTCGCCGAAGCCGAGCTGTGGGTGTCCGCCCGGGCCCCGTGCGGAGGGAGTCCTCTTCCTCTACAGCTCTGGCATGCTTAGCCACCTGCGATCCTACCGAGATGAAATGGAAACCGTGGCCGGAAACGTGGCAGGCGCAGTGGTCAGTGGCGGCTCTCGAAATGCACCTTTTTGGCGATGTCGGCCTAAAGACGTCGAAAGCCATTGGCTCGGGAAAATCCTTCTTCAAGGAGGGGCAAGGCGCCCAAAGCCCGGATGATGCAGGAGACATGCTCTATACCGCAAACATCCTCACAAGGACGACTCAGGCAGCGAAGACCGAACTGCCAGCAAGTGCAAGGCACAACATGAACAGCGTTTGGCATTGTGCAAGTGCCTTGAGGCAGCTTTACGACAAAGCTCTTCGAACAGCTCGGGAGATGCCGGTGGACCATTGCTGGCCTGGCACACAGGCTCGACTCATCTGCGAGTCTGCACTAGCTACGAGTGCTTTAGGTGACCTCCAATGCATCCACGGCAGCAAGATAGGCTTTGGCTCCAGGATCTCTGTCACGGCCACCTCGCGGTAGCACGGACGGCAGATGGCCCCTAAAACTCGGAAAGGTTTAGGCTGAGGCAGAGCTCATTGAGCACCCACAATGCCAAGTCCCAACTGCGACGGGTGGCACATGCTCGGATTGCCTTAGGGTCTCCACCAGGCTTTCGAAGCCAAGTTGATTCCAATAGCTGAGCTGGTGGCGATGCTCGAAGAGATCGAGTCCAATGCTATGCCGTCGGCAAACCTCTGGCCGGCAACGGATGTGCCCGTGAAAGCGAAGCCCCTGGAGTGAGGCCGTGGCATCTTCGAAAGTAGATGTATAGCGAGTTCCCATTGGAGCCCCTTCTCGCAAACGAAGAGCTTGGTGCCTTGGCAAAGAGTTGCTGGACTGCGTTCTCAAAGAGACGTTGGTCCCACTGAGCGCACGGCTGTACAGCTGCACATCTGGCCGATGTCTTTGAGCACAAATGTCAGCCAGGAAAAGGCCCAGTTGCCTCAAACATGTGCATCATTCAATTTCTTGAGATGCCACGGGACATTTAAGACTTTGTAGGGCGGGAGCCACTGCTCACCGTGCGCACACGCACTGGCTGCGGCGGTAGCGGTATGGAGGTCTGCTCGGAGGCCGTGTTGCCGAAGGTCCTTGCCATGGACTCACATCAACGACCTGACTGACCCAGCAGTGGCAAGCATCCTCCAGGAGTTGCAGGACCACCTCCCAGCGCTGTGATCCAGTGCAGGTGTCCATCGCCGTGTTGAAACTTATGAGATCCTGGGCAAAGACGAAACGTCCAAACTGCATCATCAATGTGCCAGTCGCTCCACGAGTTCTTGCGCTCTGAGTGCAGCACCGGGAGGAGACGCTCCTTCTGCATCGCCTCGCTCGGCGGAGAACCGCGAGAAGACTGCACCAATCGCACAACCGGGCGTGCCTCGAGCAAGGCCAGGGCACGCTCCCAGTCGCCTCTTTCCCGGCCTTAGAGCTCGCATCGGGTTGCGATTTGTCATTCTCAGCCTCTGCCCAGCTCAGAGTTGTCTGCGTCACGGACTCATGCCCCGGGTCTCAACTGGTCTCGCAAACCATCACCAGCACGACACGGCTAGATGCGGCGTGCTTGCGACATGTCTTCGACACACGCAAGCCAAGACTTCAACGATCAAAAGAATAGCGGGCTTCAGTGAAACTCGAGAAACGGCGACATCATGGCGATTGCAGTACGTCCGAGATCTACCGATGATCATCTACACATGACTACCTAGCCGGTTGCCTACCAACATCCCACGGGGGCTCCGAGTGAGCCTGCCATGATGCGTCGTCCAAGATGTGGATGTTCAAACACGTTAAAGCTTGTGGGTAATGCGTGAACTCCCAAGCAAGAGCTCTGCCATGCTTGGGAGATTGTGAATCACCCCGGGATAGGAACTAAACTCCGGGATCCTCCGAGATCCAGTTTCTGCAATTTCTCGGGCTTCCCACCGCAAGAAGGACAGCATAGGCTATTTATCTTTCGTAACCATAGCAGCTGCAGTCGCAGTAATGGCCTAATGGCAACCTTGCTGACACGTCACTATTTACATGTCAACGCAGGTCCGGCGACCACAAACTGGACCGTACGGGGTGCCAGTTGGCAGGGAAGTTACTCCAGTTTGTCACACTGTCCCGTCAAGTCTAGCTAGGGCCCCTCACATCGTCGAACTCCATCTTCGCAGCGGCAGGTGCGACTTTCCGACGCACCTTCGTGGATCCCTGTGGCGTTTTCGAGAAGAAGCGTGGGCCTTAGCTGCAGCTCGGTGACCCCTTCCTGGGCCCAAGGCCCATGCCCGCAGGCAGCAAAAGCAAGACCAAGCCAAGCTACAGCACTGCTTCGGCAGATCCGCTGCGAAGGGACCCGCAGACACACTGCGCTGTGGATCGTCACGAGGGAAGAGGTCGGTCCACTCAGTTTGGTCCTGCTTTAGCTTCAAAGTTTCAAGGTACTGCCTGGCGTGCTTGGCGGCGGCTCGTTGAGTTAGCCAGCTCTGTGCCATGATCTCGCAGAATTGATCAGCGTCCAGAATGGCAAGTCGGGTGACATCCTCTGCCATCAAGTCGCCCAAGTAGACCCAAGGAGTCCACAAGCAAATCTCTGCTATCCACGCACTGCTGTCCACGGACTCTTCCTCAGCGTTTTCTGTGAAATAGATCAAGTCGCCACTCAGCTTGAGGTAGGCGTGCGAGGCCCTGGTGCCGCTGAAGAAAATGATATCTTTGCTCGCCACCGACGCATTGCTCAGGGCTGTCATGGCCAAGCGGTGCAGCACATGCAACGTCTGCAAGTCTTCACCCTCGATCATGTCGTCAACAAATGCCAACTTCCTGAGGGACTTCCGGTGCCTCGCAAACTGGAGCTCACCTCGTAGCTGATGGGACAGCAGCTCAAGCAGGGGCACATCCATGTCGGCAGACCTGAAGGTCAAACAAAAATTGATTCCCACAGCACACTAAATGGTAACCGCAGCACAACAGAGCGAGTTGAAAGCCTCCGCACCTTGCTTCCTGCCTAAGCGTATACTGGTGCTGCAGAAACTGCGTCACTTTCTGGCCCAGCTCGGGTTGGATGTCGTTGTGCGACAGGTAGCACCGAAGAAGCCGGAATTCGGTGTTCTCATCCTCCTTGATTTTGCTGAGCCCTGCCATCAAGTTACTCACGGTTGAGATCAGGGTGGAAGATGTAATCAAAGAGCGGAAAGTGATGAGGATGCAGAATGCAAACTCCAAGCTGTTTGTTGGCTTTGCGGAACTGCTACCAACACCGAGTTGGGCAAATGCCCAATTGAGACAAACCAGATACTGGTGTCCCATCCATTCCTCCTCGATGTTGCTGTCCAAGACCCAGTTGTCAGTGCTGAGGCGGCTGACACCAAACCAGGCACATGCAATCAAGTGGTTCAATATCATGAGATGAGCGATGCTGCTGGCCAGACCGTAATACAAGCTCGCAGCCTCGGCATAGGCTTGGCATCGCTCGTTCTTTCTCTCTTTTGCCTGCTTTGCTGGCTCGAACCTACCACCGTTGCTTCTTTTGGGCTCCAGATCTCTTGCTTGCTGCAGGACGAGAGCAGGAGTCCCTCGGCAAGGACCATCTTTAACTCTTCCTCACAAAGCCTAAATCCCCGCCTCGTCTCGGGTGAACGAAACCGAACCCGCTTGAGGTCTCCTTCTTTCTTTAGGGCATTGGGGTCTGATCAAAGACCCTGACCACACGCAAGAAGCGTCGCGAAGGCCAGTAGTGTCTGGAGCCCGGAAAACACTGTGCAGCGGGTCTTTCGTCTCCTCTTCTTTTCCCCTCTTCGTCTCAGTTCTTTCTTCTTGTTCGGGCCAAGCTCAGAAGAGGTGTTGCGTTTTGTCCTCCGAGGGCCGTTGAGCCAAACCGTGTTCCAAGGATGAAAGACCTAAGCCAAAATGCCTACGGTACAGCCTCCCTCTCTTTCTTTCAGCTGGGCTTAGGGGTCGCTGTGCGACCCTCACGCCCAGCCAGGGCTAGGGGCAAGGAGAGCGAACTCTTGCTTGCTTGCTTGCTAGGGGTGTGGAGTGCACGCCTGGCCCGAGGGCCTACCCCCATGGTTCGCGTCGGTTCGTCCTCTAGGCCCCTTTCGGGGTAACGCTTCGTTCCCCTGCCTGTGATCTTTGCAACCCCCCCCGAAGGAACACCCCTCCTACTCTCTCTCTCTCTCTCTCTCCCTCCCTCCCGGGCATAGGGCATAGGCTAATAAGGGTCGATCAAGACCCCCGGGCTTCAAGCCCACCCGCATGTCTTATGCAAGATGAGGGGTGTGAAGAACGAGCATAATACTTTCTTTCTTTCGTAAGGGCTAGGAACAACGGGAAGCTCCCCTTGCCCGCGCGCTGGTTAGCGCCCCCAATGTTCTCTCTCTTTCTTTCGCCAAAGCTAGGGGCAAGGGGGACCCCCTTGCCCTCGTGCGTCAGCGCTCCCGACTGTTGCGGACATTCTTTGGGAAAACAAGCTCACAACAGGAAAGCATCTACGCCTGTTGAGCAACAAGCAAGTTCAGTTGGTAAAAAGGGAAACATAGTAACGCATACACAGAAGGATAACAACAAGGAAGACGGCTATCTTTGCCTTTGTGGTGCACAGCATGGAGAAGTTCATGGGCAAGCTTCCCCAAATTGTACTGGCAAAGGAATTAGTCATGTACAGTTGCTATGCTACAAAACAGAGCCCAAGAGCGGATGCAGGTTGAGGTGAGTTTGGAAGGCGCCAGCGGCCTGTCTTAAAAGAACTAAAAAAGGTTGCGCTGTAGGGGTAGATCCCTAGGTGAAATCCGCAGTTGGAGAGAATTAAGGAAAGCTGATCGAGCCACGCCAAACATGCAAGCCAGTACAACATGGACTGCGAATCATGAAAAGCTCATCAAAGTGACAGTCTTCTGGGTTTTCTCCCTAGGGGAGGCAGGAGTAGGCTGATGCCTTTCCCCTTTGCAGTGAAACAGGAGAAAACAGGCTTTCTCACTGTGTTTCCCGCGCACGTCTCCTCGTCCATCTTGGCTGGTCTTTGGTCCATGACCCTTGGTGCCTTTGCTCTTTGCGATTGGCTCTGTAGGTTGTTTCGGATGCCCTTCTGTACGCATGCCGTTTCTCCTCATCGGTGTCGTAGACGTCAAGGCCGAAGGGCACGTTTCCCTGGTTGTCGCGTTCCTGGAGAAGTTGATGTAGCCTTGCACGCTGGCGGTCCGTGAGCCTTGGCGGCGGTCCTGTTGGAGAGGAAGGGGCAGGGGTGCTCCGCTTTTGGCCTTTGTTTTTGTTTTCGAAGTTGTTCTGGTCCTCTTCACTGAGCTCGGCATCGGGGTTGTCCCCTTTTTCGTTGTCTGCGGCTGCCTCGGCGATCTCGGCCAGGTGGTCACCGGCTGGTGCGTTTGCACTAGTCCCGTCGTCAAAGGGTTCTCCAACGTCCCCAGGGGGCTTGGCTGTACGGCAACGAACAGATCCCCCGGTCGGGCTTCAAAAGATTTCCCTAGGAGCAAACCTCAGCCTCGAGTCCCTGTGGCAGCAATACAACGACGAAGTAAACAAGTGCAGTGCAAGTTACAACTGTATGGGACTCCCCTCTTCCGGCACATACGTCGAGGGGCTTCTTGCTTGCCGCTGCACGACAACACTGCAAATGCCAGAAATACACAAGCATGGCGACAGCACTGGCAGCGCAGACTCTGTACCGGCAAGCTTAGGCTCGGACCACGATGTTGGGGGTTCTCGAAAAAAGCGGACTAGCTCTCTCTCGCTCTGTCTCTTCCTTCTTTCCTATGGTTGAGGGGGGCCGGAAGGCACACTGGTGTTTGACTGAACGCTGCCTCGTGCGACGTCCCGTGTACATGTTGCGATCTACGCCAAAACCGACCAGCACTCCTGCACACAGTCCCTGCTCAGTCCTGAAAGTTGCTCTTCTTCTCTCAGGTAATGATAGGGAACAGGATGCGGGGTCGAGGGCGCCGCCCGTTTCACACTGCTCCCACCGCCCGAGCAGAGGCTCGAACTCGCCTGTGTGGCCTGGGTCTTGGCTGATTCGTTGAAGTTATCCCTATCTCCCAGAAGGTTGTTTCGGGCTAGCGCTGTCTCTGATCCTGTCCTGTTTTTTCCCACCCAGCTGACCAAGTCGCACCGCAGGGAAATCGTCCGAACACTGACCCAAGAGAAAAAAGAGACGAAGGACCCATACAGTTTCCTGCAGCACAGGCCAACACCAACTGACAACCCTACGCATGGCAGGATCTTGTATGGGCCTCAGTCCCTCAGCCCTAGCTTGACATGAAAGGGGACATGGCCTACTATCCCGAACGACCCCTTGGCAAGAACCGGAGGCCCGTCCAGTCTGGCACGTCACAGCTTCCGAACCCGTAACATAGGATTTGCAAAAGATGAGAGGTATCCTGTCCTGTTGAGTGGCTGGGCTGGTCCCCCCAGAGTCTGCTGGCTTGGCTTGCCAGGTAAGAGCACACATGAAGGGGGGCAGATAACAGGACTCCGGGAGGTACCTACACCGGTTCTTACACGGCCACCCGACCCTGTCTCTTACCTGTTGCAAGTCTCGGCACCTGCGAATGAAAATATTCTTGGAAGACTTCGTTGACTCGCCGGAGCTTGACCCATCGCAGCATGCGCACCAAGCGCAGGAATCGCAACATGCGTAAGCTGCGCGACCACTGCAGCGACGCAGCTTCTGCTGCATCCATGGTGTCCATCACGACAAAAGACCAGTCCATGGAAATGAGGCTGATATCGAAAAGCATCCAAGTTCTCGCATAATGACATGCGATTCTCGAAGGAGCTAGGACAAGCGTTCCTTCATCGTAAAAGCCGGTGAAGAAAGAAATCACAAAATCTGCATTCCAGAAAAGTTGGATGTACCATCCCGCAACTGCAAGAAATACGTTCGAAGGAATATCGAATACGTACAGGGGGATGACTAGCAAATCGTAGAAGATGCAGAGGGCGACCAGCACATTCCAAAACGTACGCCACGTGCCACCTGGATGTAGCACACACTTCCTTGCAGGGCTTCGCACGCACGGGTTAGTCAGGCAGGGTAAAACGTAACAGAGGGAGCCATTGTTGCTGGTCCTTACCATGGGCGATGCTGCCTCCTCCAATGTTATCGGGGTCTCGATCCTTAGCCACATATGCGCAAAACTGAACATGAGCCCATCTTTCAGCCTACTACTCTAACACATGGCAGAAGACTTTAGATGTAGCAGGCAAAGTTGAAGAAATGTGAGGCCATGTCTCTCTCTTCTGGATTTGGTGTACTGCCGTTCTCCACGCTCCTCTGAAAGCTTCTGGCGAACCATCGGCCCTTGCGGCTTAACATTGGAGGACGTCCAGCAGTCGTGAGGCTTCAGCTCGATGGCTTCTGTGGCTGAGGCGGCCAAGCTCTGACCCTGCACCTTCAGCAACGTCTTCAGGGACTTGTCTCGCCTCCCGGTGTCCAAAAAAAAGAGGGAACTGCTGGAGCAAAATTTTCATAAAACCTCTCCTGCCTTCCTGGTGCGAAAGAGCCCCTGGGATTGTCACTCCGTTTCTCGCCGTCCTGTGGCTGGCTCAGGCTCTGGACGCGCTTCCTCGGTTGCTGCAGAACTGCTAAATCCTGACTTGCAAGTTTATCGTTGAAGGGTCCAGGCCTGATGGTCTGCGGGTGCAGATGCGAGATCTGGCCCCCGTGCTCTTCCAAACACGCCATGTCAGCCTCGTAACCTCAGCCACGGGCGTCTGCTGCTTTCCTAAGAGCCCTGGCCCTGGAGCAACGAGTGACAGCGCTCGGTCAAGGGGCACTCTGCGAGCTGCTTGTGGAGTTCCCAAAAGGTGGTTCTGCTTCTTTGTCTGGGCATGGAAGAGCTTGGGCTGGTGCAGCTTCGAGGGGTTGCCACCAAGCTGGGCATTCGAGGAGGTTCAACCAAACTTATGTCCGGGCTTTCCGGGCTCGGGTTCGGCAGCCGAGGTGGTGCCACATCCATTTGTGGCTCCATCTCAAAACGCCTCGAGAAAACAGCTCGGAATCTACATTTCGAGCTCGAAGTGGCTGCAGTTTCAGGCATATCCACAACTCAATGCCATGCAATTGAAGCACAAGCAATCACAGCATTTCGGACTCGCACTGCGCTCACACCAGGCCGATGTTTTCGCTGTCTGGGGTCATGAAAATTCTGTTCAGGTCAGAATGACTCCGCTCTCTAGACACTTGTTGGGCTCGTCACGTGGATGAGACGAACCGCCTGTGCTGCAGTGGCCCTGAATGGCTTCGCCAGATTCAGAGCCTGAATCGTCATGCGCTCCAGCTAAGTAAGCGCAAAAAGTTCTGCGAGGTGAGATGGGAAGCTACTGGAGCCACGCAGCTCCCGCGCCCGTTTCCTTCCACCGAAGAAAGCCGCACCTTGCGCAAGCATCTTGCTGCACCAGCAGCAGCAGCACCACCACCACCAGCACCAGCAGCAGCAGCAGCACCACCACCACCAGCACCCGGCACCAGCAGCAACAAGAGTAAGAAAGAGGACAAGAAGCACAAGAACAAACACAAGCAGAAGGAGCCGCAGCAGCAAAAGTGCCAACAGACAGCAGCAGCAGCAGCGGCAAAGAGATGGCACAAAGGTTGCGATTGCTTCCTTAGCATGCTAACCGAGTCAAGATGCAACAGTGCTTCTTCTTTGCTACAGGAGCCGTTGTCTTGCTCCCATCATCGAAGCTTCCATCGCTGGCGTCATCCCGTTCCATCACGTCCAGCCAGCTGTCCTGCTTCTTCAACGTCTCCTCGCTCAGCTCAGGAAGTGGATCTCTTGCGTGCTTGAGTAAACATGCCAGGACCCGGGGTCCGAAAACAGTTCTGTTCCCTACGCAACGCCGATACGATAGGATCACGACAAACGGCTCGCAGCTAGCATGTCTTCACTGCTGACAAGGTGCCAAGAAGTCCTTGGCGTAACGGTGAGCAGCATAGTGGGTTTGCCAATTCTGCGACAGGATTTCGCCAAAACTAGCGGCGTCCAGCAAGGCCATGCGGGTAACATCATCTGCGACGAGATCACCCATGAAAATCCATGGTGTCCACAAGCAAACCTCCGCCACCCAAGTAGATGAATCGATGGTCTTCGTCCCATCTTCGTGAAAATAGGTTAAAGATCCACTCAGCTTCAAACAGGCTGCCACCGCCTGACTGCCACACAAAAAGATAACATCTTTTGCTGCCACGATAGTATTGCTTAGGGCAGTCATAGCCAAGCGGTGAAGAACCTGCATCGTTTGCAAATCAGGGTCGTCGATCAAGTCCTCAATAAAACGCAGCTTGCACAGAGCCTTTTGGAATCGTGCAAACTGAAGCTCACCCTGCAGCTGCTGCGACAGAAGCTCAAGCAGCGGAACTTGCATGTCAGCGGACCTGAAGGGATTGGGTGAGTCCGGTTCATGCTCTGGACAGTGAATTCGATTACAAATTATATCTTTCCAGTCCTCGCCTCGCTTCCTGCCTCAAGGCATACTGAAACTGCAGGAATTGCGTAACCTTTTGCGTGAGCTGCTGCTGGATGTCATTCGCAGCTAAGTATGCCCGCAGCAATCGGAACTCGTTGGTTTCGTCCTCCTTGATCTTGCTCAAACCGGCCATCAGGTTGCTCACTGTGCTGATCAACGTGGAACTGGTGATGAGCGAACGGAATGCAATAAGGATGCAGAACGCGAATTCCAGGCTATTGATGGGCTTGGCATTGCTGGAACCAACTCCAAGCTGTGCAAATGCCCAATTCAAGCAGACCAGGTACTGATGAATGATTTCGCTGTCTTCCATGTTGCTGGCAGCCACCCAATTATCCGAGCTGAGGTGATGCACGCCAAACCAGGCACAAGCGATCAAATGGTTCAGCACCATAAGATGTGCGATGCTGCTTGCCAGGCCATAGTACAAGCTCATGACCTGCAGGCAGCTGCCAAGCCTTGCGAACCCAACCTAGGACCTAGAAACCTTCGCGCGACTGTCGCAAAGCTTGTGTTTCCAGGCGAGCCGCAACAGCAAAGGCAAGGGTTTCAATAGCAACGGACGATCGAGGTCCAATCGAGTTCAAGCTACTTAACGCACTCACGGCAGCGAATCGAGAAAAAACTGGCCATTTGATGGCACCTCTGATGGCGCCTCTGATGGCACCTCCGCGCGTGCTCCCGCAGGGACCGTACGCCCATCGTCCCTGCAGTGTTTACGTTTGTGTGGAGACTCTTGCGTCACCATCTGCCTCTGCCTCGGCGCCAGTGCAGTCTGCAACCAGTTTGGGGAACGTGGCCGCAGTAGTACTGCTGCTGCCCCCCCTGCTTGTGACTGTGAGCTTTGTGACTGTGGGCTCTGTCTGCGAGTTTTGGAGAATGCTTCGAAGAGCGAACCACGCGGACGAGATTGCAACCCCAGTGTGCAAGCTCTGAGTCGCGCAGAACTTGGTAAGGCTAGCGCGGTTTCAGAATCGCGCGCCTGCCCGTGCGCCTTTCAATGACATGCTGAGGCCACAGCCTAGAAAGATTTGCTACACCCAGCAGACATGGCAAGGGCCGAACTTTGCACTGTTCAAGGCCTGAGAATGAAGAAGATCTTGCAGAGCTTCGTTTGCCTGTCTCAACTTGATCCATCGCAGCATCCTTATCAGCCTGAGAAACCGCAGCATGCGCAGCGTCCGCGACCATTGCTGCCCTTCTCCGCTATCCGACATATCCATGAAAGCAAGGACCCAATCTAAAGAGATCAGGGCCAGGTCGAAGAGGAGCCAGGTCCTGGAGAGTGAGCTCGTTTTCATTTTTGGAGGTCTTTGTTTTTGAAACCTTCCCCCTTTTCGAGTGTCCTGCAGTAGTGCACAGCAACTCTGAGAGGGGTCATCACCAATGCGCCCTCATCGTAAAATCCGGTCCGAAAGGATATGACCAGGTCCACGTTCCAAAAGATCATGATGGTCCATCCGAAAACTGTAAGAGCCGCGGTCTGCGGAAGGTCAAACGCATAAAGCGGAATGACAATAAGGTCGTAGAGCACGGTGATGGCAGTCATCATATTCCATATGGTTCTGAATGACCCCGCAGGGTGAAACATGTACTTCCTGCAAGTCACGAAAGTCTTTGCCAGATCGTCCAGCGCCCGGTGCTAGCCTTGACTACCCTCTGTGTGAAGCTGTGCAGACGCTTTCGGTGTTGCCCTACCAGTCAGTCCTCGGTCCGTCGGCTTTCAAGCTTTCCTTTGTGGGCTGGGTCCTTATACGGCACAGTGGCGCAGTCATCGTCATGTCCAGATTCCACGACTTCCGGCTCACTTTCTCTAAGTCTAAGACGAGTGTCGGCAAAGGAAGCATGTCCCTAGTGGCACCGCAGTCTTGAGACAATCGCCGATTGCCTCCGGGCTTCTTCTGAAGTTTGTTCGCATTCCAACCTGATCGTTTCAACATGGAGCCATGATCGTCAGCGCTGGATGCAAGAAATATTTGCCGGCAAAGCACATTCATGCGGCTTCAGGTTGATGTCAGTGTTACTGCCGTCGTCTTTTGCATCGACACCCTGTACTTTGCCAAGTGTTTTCATCGTCTGTTTTCTCCTGCGGGAGGGTGGAAACATGGACGACTACAAAGCTTACCGCGCCATGCTACCAAGCTGTGGGAACCATGCCAGCACATGCTAGTGCAAGATTGTGGGCAGCTTTCAGGTTTGGGCGGGTACTCGTGGTGGGTAGCTCCTGCCCCTCACAATCTCGATACGGTCTTTCGCGCTCAACTTTTCACTGCGGGTCGGATCCAGAGCAATGTGCCGTTCGCTGCGTGCTGCATGCGGGTCGACCGAGATGATGGAGTTGTTGCTCAGCCGCCTCCAGTTCAGAGCTCAACTAAACTTTCGGGTCCAGTGCAGATGCCCGGACTCCTTCGACTCATAAGGGCCGCACTGGCTAGTGTTCCTAAACTTCCGGAAACTTCGAATGACATGTTGAACATAAGCTGCGCCTCTCGTTGGCCACTGGGGTCTGCAAGTGCTCCCCGAATTTGAACTGGAGAGTCTGGAGAGCCGTGCCCGCTTCAGACGGCTTTTTGTCGGGTTGTCGGCCCTCCGCGATCGCAAGATCGGAAGCGTAGCCTAAACAGAAGGGATTCCCGGAAGCTCCATGCAAACTCCAACCTGATACTTTGCCGGGTGGCATTCGCCGAGCTGTCGGTGGAGCTCCCAGAAAGTCGCTTTGAGGGGGCCAGACAGGCTATAGGACTCCATGGGGCACTGAGGTCGGAAGGCTCTGGGCCGCAACTGCAAAGAGCCAACGAAGATGTATGGACAAGCACAGCCCCAAGTCGTCCTACTGTTGATGGACAAAATTCAGCATGACCCAAGTATAGTATGGTACCCATAGTTTAGGTATATAAGGTCATGCAGGATTTTGTCCATCAGCCGTATCACCCTGCTTCCTCAGACTCTGAGACCAAAGCTGTTGGCAACAGCTGCAAGGGCCGTGTTAAAGGAGACCAGGTCCGGCCTACCAGTACCGAAAGCCAAGTGGGGCTTCTCTGAAGCAATGTAGCTGCTGCACCTGGGTTCTTCTAAAGTCTGCATCGTCCGCAGCAACTGCACGGCTCGTCGCCACTCGAAGCCGCGGCCGCAGGATGTAAGCACCGAGTTGCAACCTTGCTTTGGCCGATGTGGCTTTACTGAACAGCGAAGAAAGCAAAGCGCTGCGACTACCCTTAAGCACCCACGATCCCCGACCCGAAAATGCAGGGTTCATACTCATGGCGATCTTCGACTCGAAGCTGCATGGTTCTGTACGAGCGCCGCACTTACAACGTCTGGGCGCAATCGGCAGCCGGACATTGATTCCAGAAGATGCAATGCCGCCTGCAGGTCAAAGCTGCAGCATGCATTTCAGTATTGGCAAATACAACAGCCGGCTGCCTGTAGCCATGGTAAACAGCAAGCTGCCAGCTTTTTCCACTGCTGACTAGCGAGTCTTAAATCACGTCCGGGCTCAGAGTGTCATAGGACTCTGGCCACACATGAGTATAGCCTTTGCTCGGACATCTCTCTGCTTCTACCCCACGACATGTAGGAGAAGCTGTCAACTGACAGAGATGCTTGCATATTGAAGCCAAGCAGCCTCGACCAATTTCATGCAGAGTTTTCGCGTCACTGGAGCGTTCTTCACTCCATAGCCAGGTGGCGAAAATCCACTTCTCATCAATCGCGGGCAGGCTCTGGTGCCTTGTGCCGAATGGTTTTCGGGGGGGGCAAACTCTCGAGCACAATGTCGGAATAAACAGTGTTTCTCATCCATCTGAGCCATTTCATCGAGAGAAGCTATGCACTAAGTGTACTGGTACTGCCGCAGACAGAGAACCACAAAAGCTCCAGTTCTGGCAGCACTTGCAGGGTCAGTGCTCATGACCAAGCAGCCGTGTGCGCCGCGCGTCAGAACACCGGTCGAGCCGCGCGGGGAAGTGCAGCACAGCCAAGCCTCAGGTCAACTGAGGCCAACAGCTGTGCGTCGTCACCGTGTAGTATTGCACTCGTCAGTCCTTGCTTCGGTGAAATCTTCAATGGTGGCGAAGCATTCGGAAACTCCGTTTCGCCTCCTGGGATGCTGGAAGTCGGAAGACAACTGCACACACACAAAGCATACCCAGGGTAGCCATGAGTAGAATCCGTGCGGGCAGCCAGGGGTTGCTAGTCAAACAGGGTCAAACAAGGTCTGCCAACTTTGAGATTCGGCCTTGTTGAATGTCGTTCAAGTAAACGAAGAGAGTGGCCAAGCGAGAGCTGTTGACGAAACCCGCGCTGGATCTCGTTCCGCTTGTGCTGTAGTCCCCGTGTAGCTTAAAGAACTCACCCTCCTCGTGGCAAGCATGCTGCAGCATTTCATGCTGAGAAACGAATCAGCAGGTCCTGGTAGCGGATGATCTGGCAAGCCTCTAGCTGTCGCCGAGTACAGTCAGGGAGGGCCTTGGTCATTTTGCAATGCACATCGCGACAGCTCGTCCATGCAAAGGGAGCGAAACCGTAGCCATCACAGCGACTATTGAACCGTGCACAGTTTCTCGCACTTCCCGCCACTGTCCCGTCTGTCCGCCTTCTGAAATCATGGTCATTGCGACCTGAATCGTGTTCCCGCCACGGTTGCAATGGCACGTTTGGGGTGCCAATCGTGCTCCCGCCACAGCGTGGCGTGGTTGTCACAGAGACTGTGCGGGGTCTGCGCTGGCATAATTACAGGTCGGAGCACGACGATCTTCCTGATGAGAGCTGGCACCTCAGCCTGAGGACATATGCATTGAGAGCTTGTGCGAACCGGCAATCGGTTGTGGCCGTCCCGAGTGAAGACACCTGCGGGGGCAGGTGCTGGCACCAACACTTCAGCAGCGTCGCACCTCGAACCTCAAACTATCCATTCAGTTGCTGCTGATGATCCCCACCTGCGGGTTTCATGCTCTCTGGCTCGTAAGCAGCCTTATGAAGAAGTCGCTGGCACTCGGTGGAACTGAAGAAGTTCTGCACCAAGAATATGTGAGGACATCTCCTTCCATTGAGGTCACACCCACTGCGCAACATCCCAGTCATAGCCAGAGCAGCGGGTCCGGGCCTCACGAGCTGTAGACCAGGATATGACAAATTGATCTTGTGGAACCCATCCTCCACGCCGAGGTCAAAGGATGTAGCCTGTGGCACTTAAGTACTATGCAGCTAGAGTCAGCTAGAGTCATGGTATGTCAATGGCATCCCGCAATCACCAGAGAAGTGGTTGTCAGAGCATTGATGTTTTGCCTTCGGCGGATCAGAGCACGTGGTACAGTAGCGCGATGTGAGTGGCAGGGGCAGGCTCAGTCGCTTGCCCCGGCAGAACATCATTCACTTCCACAGACATGCACCATTAATGCGGCTCCACTTGTGGTTCTTTGGCAAAAGGGTCTGCAGTTCGTCTTGTTGCTCCCAGGGAAGACGCGACAGATAACTGTCCAAACATGCTTCACTCTGAGACTTATCGCCTTAAGTCCAAAGTGTCGAGCACGTGCTGTCTGCGAGATGCTCCGCAGTCTGTGCAGCATGACTTTCTTTTGGGCTGCCGAGGATTTCAGTGAAGATGCATTTATCCGGACAGTCGCAGGACCGCACAGAGAACAACACCACTCCAATCAATCTACCGCTATCTAAGGGTACTCCTTTTTCACTCACGTACCCGCATCGCCCGGCTCTGTCCAGAAAACAACGTCCACCGCAATGGGAAAGTGATCCTTGGCTGCTGCTGTAAACGGCAACGGCAAGGAGAAAAAAGCCACAACGGAAGTTCCTCAAGGAACTTGGCAAAACCTCAGACGTGTGCTTCCTGGTCAGGGTGCTGAGGGCCAGCGGCCTGAAGCAAGCAGCGTGGGCAGCGGTGCTTGGGGCGCAGCGCCATAGAAGGACCGAAGCCAGGCACGGCAGGGCAGGCGAAGCCGCCGACATGCCCAGGGTCCCAGCTGGCTGGGCTGTTTCCAGGGATCCCAGTAGGCTGCGCCTCCAGACTCCGGATCCGAGTGTTTCGATTCTACAACCTCTGCTGGCAAGTACAGTTCATGCCGAGCGTGTTGGGGCTTTGGATAGAGACTTAGAGGCATTCGGCAGAGCTAGTGCTGAGCTCGCTACACCCCTCTACACAGTCATGCATGCAGTATTGAGTTCCGCCTTCTGGAGAGCGAAGCCAGCAGTAGTCAATGATCCTGTCGATAGCGGCACGCATACTAAGCCGAAAACCCGGTTGCGGCAAAAGAGAAAAAAGCTTAACATTGCAGACCACCAAGCCAGCATCTGCCAACCAAGATTCTCTGCAAAGCCCTGGCCACTTCGGGCCAGTGCATTGGTCGTTGTGACAACGCCTGACTCGCCGCATTGTTTTTCCAAGTCCTGCCCACAAGAGAATCAAAGCACAAATGTCCATGTCCAAAGCTACCCGGACCGGGCACTGCACGCCTGGTAAGCGGAGCGGAAATACTGGCTCACGAGACCATGTGTCGGGCTCTGCGGCGTCATGTTGAAATCACCGCCTGTACAGAAGTGAAAGGCCATGCGTTCTTTTTCTGCTTCCAAAGCATGCGACCTACGAAAGCGGCGGAACACGAAGAGCTCAGCAGGTGCGAGCTAGCCCCACACACTCAGGATGACTGCAGCCCGGGGCGCAAATGATTGCGTAGTCATTCTGGTAGCTCAGAACGGCTTGCAGGAGTACGAATGCCTGGGAGCAGACACTCCTCGCAGGGCTCCAAAGCCCGACCCGACCCTCCCTCTCCGCCTGGTGCGTTCGTAAATCTTCCCTCGTATCGTTCCAAGCCAAATGGGTGGTGGCAACGAGCACCTAGGCTACCAGTCCATCCGCCGATCACAGTGGGTGTCCAAAACGTCTATAGTGGCACTTCCCGTCTTGCTTGGGTGCTGTCCAGCCCTCAGGCGCATCAGTAGGCTGCAGTTCCACCAGCAAGGCAACCTGAAGGTCATCCAGGTGCTTCTGTGATGGTATGGCTGAAGATCTGCGCAGCTTAGGCCGCCGGCATGCCCGCTTGGATTGCCCTCATCCTGCTGACAAGCATGTGGGGGCGGAAAATCATCGTAGTACAGCGGCTGCTGCCTCACCATGTGTCACGACTCACTTCAATGCTTGCATTTTACAACTCTGCGGGCTGACGCAGGCACTCAGGGCTCTGCCTGATCAGCCTGAAAGCTTCGCGCTGCCATGCGATGAGGCAGCCGTCTTTACGGTCCAAGCCATTGAACCGCTTGGGACGCTGCACAAACCTGAAGAGTATGTGCACGCTCTTTTCACGACTCTTGATGGTTCCCCCGGTTCCATGACTGCATGTTTGAAGATGTGGCATATTACCATTCTCAGTGTCCTCCTGAGTGAAGCTATCCACGTATGTCGCTCCGTGTGACACTACATTGGCTGTAGCTAAGGAGGTTCTTCCATAAAGCTTGTGCAGATCATCGGCCGTTTCTCGTCCGATCCCTGACAGAAAGACATCTAGCAGCAGCACAAACAATATGTGTTTCCGTCATCAGAAAACAGGTGCGCACTGGAAGTAGTCATGCTTCTTTGCAGACGGCCGACGCAACAGCATAGTCTGACCTTGGCTCGATTGGACTACAGCACCTGTTGAGGACGGATTGCTAGCCAGCCTAAGTTGACCCAAGCCGCAATCCCAAATCCTCCAATGGACGGTCAAGCTCTACCTGCAGACCACCCAGACAAATTATGTAGGACATCCACTACCCAAGCACAATGCAGCAACGGGCCTCTTGGAGGCAGACGATTGTTGGGGCTAGGCAATGGAGGACTTTCTTTATTTGTGTGGCCCGACGTGGCCAGCGTAAAGCCTCCGGGTCCACGTCCTGCTGCTCAGTCGGGGTATGCACCAAGAAGGAAGCGCAAAACTCTCGGTTCTCTCCTTGAAGAAGGCTCCCGAGCAGTAAGAAGGCGCAAGGAGATTCCAAGAAACGACTCGTGCGCAGCAACCTCCAAGCGACTCAACAGTAGCCTCAGCCAGCGACAAGAGAGCCTACAGTGCCTGCATCTTAAGGCACAGTAAGAGCGAAGGAGTTCCGGCATCGAGCCGGCCTCGCAACACGGCTCCAAGTTCAGGTCCAGGGGTAACAGGTCGAGAGCAGACAACGCATCGATGTTCGATGTGTCCTGGCGCACGACAAAAAAGAAAGCTGGTCTTATGTGCCGCTTACTAAACCCGTCTAAGGTTCGTTTCCTCCTCCAGGAGCTGCTCGCATCGCGGCTGTCCCCGCTCATTGAAGGCCTCAAAGCTGGGGGCTTTACAGCGGGAGGAGCATATTTTATGTTTTTTTTGTTCGTGGCGGGGATGCCTTCGGGGCTTGCTAAAAGGTTGCGATAATGCAAAGGTTGATAGTACTAGTACTAGTACGAATACTATCAATACTACTAGTACTAATTGTAGTACGGGCACTAAAACTCATACTATTACGAATACTCAACTACCAGGACGACTATTGGTAGAAGTAATAGTGGCGGTAGTAGCAATCGTAGTAGCAAAAATAGCAATAACAAAACAAAGAATAACTTCAATATTAGTAACGGTGGTAATAATAACAATAAGAATACTAATAATAATAATAACAATACAAATAGAAATAATAATACTAATATTAGTTAATGATCATAATAATAATAGTAGTAATGGAACTAATCGTAGTAATGCAAATAATTATCCTAATAGTAGTCATGCTACTAACAATACCAACATACTGGTAATACCAACACTACCAATAACACCAATAGTAGCGATGATACTAGTACCACTAGTAATGCTAACAACGCTCGTCATACTAGTACTCCTAATAATATTGGTAATACTCGTAACTCGTAATACTAGTTACTCGTAGTATTAGTAGTACTCGAAATACTAGTACAAGTAGTAGTACTACTAGCTGTTGTAACTAAAGCACTACTACTACTACTACTACTACTACTGCTACTACTACTACTACTACCACCACCACCACCACCACCACCACTACCACGACTACTACTACTACTACTACTACTACTACTA